CATTGTGACCTCAGAATTCACGATAAAAGCTGAACAAATAGGACTCATTATAGCTCTATTCCAAAACCAAGCAAAGTTCCTCATAAGTTATGATCCATTCAAAGGTGCAAACTAACCTGAAATATCACATTAAACATTTTCAAATAAAGTATTTTACATAAAATGAGTCAAAGAGAACAAAATTGTCCTGTCCTGATAAACTGGCTACACAATTTTAATTTGAGAGTGCAACTCGCATTTTAGTTGCAGCTATTTATTTAGTATTATTTTTTTGGAAAATACAGCCCTGTAAAGATATAAGAGGCATAATAACATAAGTTTGCTAAGAGAGAAGGCGAACAGTAGATCCATTAGTATATAAAGTCTTCACAAAACAATTCAGAGAATGTAAGGCATGTTAAAAACATTGATGTTAAAAAACTCATACAACACTCCTCGTGGTCCAGAGGGCGAGTCTAGAGTGAGTCCATACATGGATATCCAAGTGGGTTTTGCCAAGCAGTCATGCAGGAACGGTCATAGTCTCTTTCTCTCTCTCTCTCTCTTTCTCTTTCTTTCTCTCAGTGAAGAAAGTGGTTTTAATGTGATGGTGTAAAGGGTGAAATCAGATTTATGTGTTTGTATATAACTTTTATATGCTTTTGTAGCTTCGTGTTTATGTATTTACGTTATATATTTAGTTTTTAATATGTTTGACGTAGGGCGAAGCAGTGTAGGTATAGTGCTGTCGCCTAACAGCAAGAAGGTTCCTGGGTCGCTGGTTCAAGCCTCGGCTCAGTTGGCGTTTCTGTGTGGAGTTTGCATGTTCTCCCTGCGTACACGTGGGTTCAACACAATCTCACGGCAATACATAACTTTTTGATTTAGTGGCTAATTCGTATGAATTTGTACGATCTAATTCGTACAATTTAGTGCGACTTGCTCATCACCCAATGACGGTTGGGTTTAGGGGTGGGGTTAGGTGCCACGCCTCCTTTTTAAAATCGTACAATTTCATACGACTGAACTCGGATGAATTCGTACGAATTAGCCACTAAACTGGCAAAACGTCAAATACTTACGTTTTCTCGTGAGATCAAGCTGGTGGGTTTCCTCGGTTTCCCCCACAGTCCAAAGACATGTGGTACAGGTGAATTGGGTAGGCTAAATTGTCCGTAGTGTATGAGTGTGTGTGTGAATGTGTGTTTGGATGTTTCCCAGAGATGGGTTGCGGCTGGAAGGGCATCCGCTGCGTAAAAACTTGCTGGATAAGTTGCTGTGGAGACCCTGGATTAATAAAGGTACTAAGCCGACAAGAAAATGAATGAATGAAGGAATGTTTGACAGATAACAAGGGTGCGAATTACAGGGGGATTTGGGAGGATTGACCCCCATAATTAATGCTTGATTCTCCCCCTTTGAAGGATGTCAAAACAGATGTATGGGGGGGGTCAGTCCTCTAAATAGTGAAAAGTAGTTTGTTCTGATCTGTATCATAAATAATAATTAAAATAATAGATAATAGAAATAAAGGCGACGCAGTGGCACAGTAGGTAGTGCTGTCGCCTCACAGCAAGAAGGTCGCTGGTTCGAGCCTCGGCTGGGTCAGTTGGCGTATCTGTGTGGAGTTTGCGTGTTCTCCCTGCGTTCGAGTGGGTTTCCTCCGGGTGATCCGGTTTCCCCCACAGTCTAAACACATGCGATATAGGTGAATCAGGTAGGCTTAATTGTCAATAGTGTAAGAGTATGAATGAGTTTGTGTGGATGTTTCCCAGAGATGTGTTGCGGCTGGAAGGGCATCTGCTGCGTAAAAACGTGCTGGATAAATTGGCGGTTCATTCCGCTGTGGCGATTAATAAAGGGACTAAGCCGACAAGAAAATGAATGAATAAATTATAGAAATATTCATTTGACCACTTCAAAGGCTCGTTCTGAAAACGTACTGCTATATACGTTTCTGGAGATCACGAAATTTGTATCAGGAGGTACGTTTTTTTGCAGTTTTTGTTTTCAGGAATCCGCCAGAGGCTGCTGTGTACACTTTTCAGATCTAAGCTTTCTCTTGCTAGTGCCATGTGTGCCTGCTCTTCTCACGTAAAATCCACCGGAGGCCGCTTTCGACTGACTTTATAAATGACTGACTGAATGATCGACTGAACTACCCTCCACTTTCCCTAAACCCAACCAATAGTAGTTTCAAAAGCACAGATTGACCCGCTCACACACTTCCCTAAATACATCCGACAGTGTTAAAAAAGCACTCCAAAAAACGAAAAGTCCTCGCCTGATTTTTACCACGTTTTCAGATTTAACCACACTCTCACCCTGTCATTTATTTGTTTAATTTTTGGTTTCTGCTTTTGTCTTACTTTCTGGAAACTTTCTTCCGGACTCAACCCCATCAACGTGGTCAACTCCTCTCTGTTTCAAGTCTGCCGACGTAACAAGCTAAACAGCGGGAAAGCCGTGAACACGGAGGTAAACGCAAAAAGGAACGCCACTATACCGCCCCGTAGCATTCGTTTTAAAGACGAAATGCAGCCAAACGTACTTCTAGCTACATAATTCGCGACCTCCAGAAACATATATAGGGCTACATTTTTAGAATGAGCCTGTGTTGGCATAATTACATGTTATTAACCCTAACCGTATAGTTAGTACAGGAAATTAATTAATATTACTCAGTAGTTACATACATACTTTGTTACACAAAGAATAGTTACATTGTAACTACGTCACCTTAAAATAAAGAGTAACCACATAGTGCAAAAGGACTAAACCTGTAACAGTAAGAATTTTATTATACATTTTTATAATTTTTTTTAGCATTTTTTTTAATCAATTTTATAAATGCATCCAAACTTAAAATAATTTCACCTTTCCCTAAATAGGCAAATAATTTTGAACATGGCCACATGTAGACAGATGTATTCCCTTGTTTGAGTTGAAATTATGTAAATGAAGATATTTCTACCGCAAAAAGAAGCATTCTACTGATCAAAATCACTATCAATTGAATAAATCTGCAGAAAAATTTAGTAATGTATTTCAGTCCAATTGTGCTTCATTTAGCTGAATGGGCTTTACAAACCATCTACAGGAAAACTGTAGAAACACTCTTCTCTCTTATGCAGCTGGAACTTTTATTTAAATTCCATCTTACATGGACTCAATAAGGAAAACAATGTTTACACTAAATGTACCACAATCATGTTGCACTGCTTGATTCAACCTAAAATAACTCAATATAAATACACTATATAAATCCCTAAATACCTCTTTTGCACCATATACATCTCTTGCACAATATCCTGCACAGCGTTGTTCAGTCTCATGTAAAAGTACTTGTATAGCCTGTCTTATGTGTATAGTTAAGTGTCTTATAGTATATGTTAGTTATGCATGTGTTTTTTTATATAGCTCTTATGTCCAGTGTTGTGTTTGTATTTATAATTAATTTATGTAGCACAGTTGTCCTGCGAGACACAACATTTCGCTCTTCTGTATGTCCAACGCAATCTCACGGCAATTCGTAACTTTTTGATTTAGTGGCTAATTCGTATGAATTCGTACGATCTAATTCATACAATTTAGTACGATTCGCTCATCACCCAATGACAGTTGGGGTTAGGGATGGGGTTTGGGGGCCACACCTCCTTTTTAAAATCGTACATTTTCTTATTTCGAATTTCTGCGAATTAGCTACTAAATTGACAAAACGTAGAATACTTACGTTTTCTTGTGAGATCAGGCTGCCATGCCCACACGTAGTGAAATCACAATAAAGCTCGAGTTGACTTAACTTTATCGAAAAAAAAAATTGCCGTTTGTTCAAACTAATTAAAAATGAGCTGAAACAACACAATTCTTGAGTTGATTGGGAGACAACTTAATTGTTTTATTTTTCAATCCACTTAAATTTGTAAAAACCAGCAAGTTAAATTAATTCTTCATGTTGTCACAACACAAATTGATTGTGTGGAACCCAAAAAATTTCACAGTGTAGTCTTTAGCGGTCAGTGATCTTTCTTTCTTTCTTTCTTTCTTTCTTTCTTTCTTTCTTTTCCTTATTTCTTTCTTTCTTTCTTTTCCTTCTTTCTTTCTTTCTTTTTCTTATTTCTTTCTTTCCTTCTTTCTTTCTTTCTTTCTTTCTTTTCTTTCTTTCGTTCTTTCTTTCTTTCTTTCTTTCTTTTCTGTCTTTTTCTTTCTTTCTTTCTTTCTTTCTTTCTTTCTTTCTTTCTTTCTTTCTTTCTTTCGTTCTTTCATTCTTTCTTTCTTTCGTTCTTTCTTTCTTTCTGTCTTTTTCTTTCTTTCATTCTTTCTTTCTTTCTTTCTTTCTTTCTTTCTTTCGTTCTTTCTTTTTCTTTCTTTCTTTCTTTCTTTCTTTCTTTCTTTCGTTCTTTCTTTTTCTTTCTTTCTTTCTTTCTTTCTTTCTTTCTTTCTTTCTTTCTTTTGTTCTTTCTTTCTTTCTTTCTTTCTTTCTTTCTTTCTTTCTTTCTTTCTTTCTTTCTTTCTTTCTTTCTTTCGTTCTTTCTTTCTTTCTTTCTTTCTTTCGTTCTTTCATTCTTTCTTTCTTTCGTTCTTTCTTTCTTTCTGTCTTTTTCTTTCTTTCATTCTTTCTTTCTTTCTTTCTTTCTTTCTTTCTTTCGTTCTTTCTTTTTCTTTCTTTCTTTCTTTCTTTCTTTCTTTCTTTCGTTCTTTCTTTTTCTTTCTTTCTTTCTTTCTTTCTTTCTTTCTTTCTTTCTTTCTTTTGTTCTTTCTTTCTTTCTTTCTTTCTATCTTTCTTTCTTTCTTTCTTTCGTTCTTTCATTCTTTCTTTCGTTCTTTCTTACTCTCGCAAACAATTTTTTCATTAATTATTATTAATGATATATCCCTTGTGATACTGTGTAAGTAAAGTAGTGTGTGTGTGTGTGTGCGTGTGTGTGTGTGTGTGTGCACTGCAGTGGGAAAGGTTCACATCTCCCACGCCACTCCATATTGGGATATAAAAAAAGGAAGTACATATTTTGGAAACTCACTCTCTGTGGTCGGGGTAGAAGGCTTCCTGCTCCGCTTATCATCTGGTGTGGAGACGCTGGGATCTGAACACAGACAAACAGGATACAGAGGAAAACACAGAGAGCTAAATTAGCAAAAATAAATCAAATGTATGGTCACATGCTATTTTAATGTACAATTCATGCTATTAACCAAGACTTTTAGCTCAATAAACTATTAATTGGCAGCTTATTTTTAATTAGTAAAGTAGTAGTTGGGTTGATTAGAACTAGGGATGCCAAGAGCAACAAATAATAACTTGATTTCTAGTTGATCATTTGGAAAAGTGGCAGAAGATAGACTTTTTCAATGAATCATCTGTTGAACGTCATCCCAATCATCACAAATACAGCAGAAGACCTACTGGAACCAATATGGACCATAAGATTCTCACAGAAATCAATCAAGTTTGGTGAAGGAAAAGTCCTGGTTTGGGGTTACATTCAGTAAGAGGGCGTGCAAGAGATCTGCAGAGTGGATGGCGACATCAACAGCCTGAGGTATCAAGACATTTGTGCTGCCCATTACATTACAAACCACTGGAAAGGGCAAATTATTCAGCAGTATGGCGCTGAAGAAGGTCAAGATGCTCCAGGATTGGCCCGTCTAGTCACTAGACATGAACATTATTGAGCATGTCTGGGGTAAGATGGAAGTGGAGGCATTGAAGATGACTCCAACGAATCTTGATGTCTTGCAGTAACACTTTCTTTGCCATTCCAGATGACTTTATTAATAAGTGATTTAAGTCATTGCAGAGATGTATGGACGCAGTCCTCCAAGCTCATGATGGAGTCAGACACAATATTCATTCTGTCTCCACTGCAGCATGACTTTATATTCTATACTGGACATTATTTCTGTAAGTGACAAGAGTTTTGTCAAAGCAAAGTCAGACCTTACTGTCCTAATGAAATCATTCAAAATCAAGGTGTAATCATGTTTTATTTTGGTAAAATAAGCGTAATCTATAAGCCTTTGTCTTTCATATTAGCCACTTCTGATAACAAATGATCAACTACAAGAAGTTAAGTTATTATTTGTTGTTCCTAAAACTTTGATAGGCGACAAGACTTTTGTCAGGTAGTGTATACTTAGTTCATGAGTTCATGTTAGTAAATACATTACATTAAATAAAAGTTACTATTTGAGCTGTTAACAAAGAAATAGCTTTGAAAGTTCATTGCCAGTTTACATTTGCTAAATTTTGCCAAGACTAAAACCAAGGTTAAAGCAGTTGAAAATGACGTTTGAAAGTCAGAAGTGCAGAAGTCACCTTAGTAGAAACTGCATATGTAAATGTTTATCAAGGTAAATGATAATATCACTGCACTTAAATTGTAGTACACTATATACCAAGTAAGGGATAAAGTACATCCAGGAAGTTGTTATTGCAGAAAAAAGCCTGACAAGCTTATAAAACTGAAGGACAACCTCCTGGATGTACATTATCCTGCTTATTTGCCTTAAAACACAAATATTAGACACAAAACGTTATTCTGAGTCGTAATAGTTGATTAATTCTTTAATTACATTTAAAGCTGAAAGGAAACAGAAACAGTTGATTGACTTTAACGTGGTACTGTCCAGCACATTATTCAGTCACAAGATGGCATCAAAATGTCAAAAACACAAAGCTGAAACTACACTGGCTGAATAAAGCATAGATTACCTAGGGATTATTCATTCACAACATGGCGACAAACAATCCAAAACAGTCAAAAACCGCAGCATGACAAACAAGCAGATACTTATGAATGTGGATTTAGGAATATGAATGTGAATGTATTTACTGACATACGTGAAGTTCTTGGATGACCCTGTGTTATTTAGAGGTTGTTAACTGGGAATAACATAACATGGAATGTCATGAATAATCAATCAGAAGCAAGTATTCCAGACAGCCAAGTAATGATAATATATATATATATAATTATTTTTTTTTCTTTAGATGAAATTTCACTTTTGAGAAGCATAGCAATTAGGGATGTAACGGTATTGTAAATACCGTCATACTGCAATATTAATTTTTTTTGATATTACCGAAGTCGCATGACTCGGTAAAACTATAGGTCTTCTGAGAAAATTTGCTCAGGTGAATGGCTTGTCCTCTCAAGTGGGGGAAAGACAATGCACAACGTTACCCACTGCTGTCAACCTGGGCCAAGTCATATCTCTCTTGTCCCAGAAACCTCAGTCCCAAATGAGAGGGTTTTTTTCTGTTGCAGGGGACATTTTAAATGCCCAGAGATACCAGCTTTTACCAGATTATATTTATATGATAATTTTCCTTTAAACCCATCTCTATCTAAGTGAGTGAGTGATTAAATGTTGAATGTGATGAGTTTTCAACAATACTAAATTGAAACTTTATTTTTTTTACATGGTTTAATAATTTTTTGTTATTAAAATTGAAGTTCCTGTTTCAAAGCTTACAGATAGATGGCTAATTTGTATGTAATTGACACTTTTGGCACTTTTTTGGAGTATTTTCATAAGTTTTGTTTTTTCCTGTAAATGATTGAATAAATACCGTACCGTGACATTCATACCGAGGTATTACCGTACCGTGAAATTCTGATACCGTTACATCCCTAATAGCAATGGATAGAGACAGCTGTAAAGAGATGTTTCTTAAAATGAGTGAGAGAGAGAGAGAGAGAGAAAGATCTACAAAGGCACATGCCAAGCAAAGCTGGTTTGCGAATTCTTGAATCTGCTTAAGGAAAAGATCCTCTAAAGTGACAGAGAGCTCTACAAACAGCTGTAACGACATGTCCTAGAAAAGAAGAAAAGGGATAGCTGAAGGGACATGTGCTTCAGTAGAGATGGAGATATCTTTTAGGACTTTACAGAGAGATCTAAGAATGGATTTATGGACATGTCTTGTTAACTAAGATAAATATGCCCAAAGATGGTTAAATGCATCCTCTAAAGTGGGAAAGAAAAATCCACAAATTGGTGTGGAGAAATGTTCTGGAAACCAGGGCTCCTATTCAAAAATACCATTAGCAGTTCTCCTAAATAGAACTAAACGTTTTAAGCTGAGGGTTTTCTCTATTCACATTCTCCATTTAAATCTATTCACAAAGCTGCTGAGACAAACCTGAACAAACTGAAAGACGTCTAAAAAGGGATAGTTCACCAAAAAATCTTGTTATAAACATGTCTGAGTTGTTTTTAGTTCTGTCAAATATAAAAAACATATTTTTAAGAATGTTGGAAACATGTAACCATTACATATTAAAGTAGGAAAAACAAATACTATGGAAGTCAATGGTAGCAGGTTTTTTCCCTTCTTTAAAATGTCTTCTTTTGTGTTCAACAGACATACAACAACAACAAAACTAGGTAAAGAAATGAATTTTAAAAATGTGCTCCTTGCTTTTAATGATAGACATTACATTAGGCTAGATTACTGTAATGCTCTGTTCACTGGCTGCCCAGCATCCTCTATTAATAAACTTCAGCTAGTACAAAATGCAGCTGTCAGAGTTCTTACCAGGTCTAGAAAATATTATCATATCCTCCTTACACTGGCTGCCTGCTAAGTTTCGTATTGAGTTTAAAATATTGCTTTTTACCTATAAAGCTTTAAATAATCTAGCTCCTGTTCATCTAACCAACCTTCTGTCTCGCTACAATCCAACCCTCTTTAAGGTCTCAAAACTCAGGGCTTCTGGTAGTACCTAGAATAGCAAAGTCGAGTAAAAGAGGTCGAGCCTTCTCATTTATGGCTACTAAATTCTAGAATAGCCTTCCTGATAATGTCCGAGGCTCAGACACACTCTCTCAATATAAAACTAGATTAAAGACATATATTTTTAGTAAAGCATACATTCAGTGCATCACTTAGCGGTATGATACATGAATGTGCCCCTAGCAGGTTTCTGCATCTCGTTTATATACACTATGAACATAAGCTACGTTAATTATTCTCTTTATTCTCTATTTCCACAAGGGGATATTAATCCTGAGGCCCCCAGACTACACAGCGCCACTGATTCGATCCAAGACCAGCGACGAGATGATCCCAAGGTTTCTATAATCCTGGACCAGGTCGTATCCTGAGCAGCTGCTGTGCTGGTCATGGAGGAGTGGAGAGCATGAGACTGATTCCTGTGACTCTCCAGGGACAGACCAGCCTTCGCTGAGGTCCAGCATTCTCCAGCCTCCGGCGGCTAGACTGCAGCTCTGCACAAGACGTTTGGCCATAGGAGAAACGGTCGTGCCCAACTGAGCCTGGTTTCTCTCAAGGTTTTTTAATTCTTTACTTTCGCCAATTGGTGAAGTTTTTTCCTCGCCGCTGTCACCACTGGCTTGTGTGGTTCGGGATCTGTAGAGCTGCACATCGATGGATTGCTCTTCAGTGTTTAGACTCTCAGTAGTGATTATTAACCACTCTGAATTGAGCTAAACTGAACTTAACTTAAACACTGAAAACTGAACTACACTGAATCAATTTACTATGATCTTCTATATAAAGCTGATTTGACATGATTTACATTGTAAAAGCACTCTAGAAATAAAGGTGAATTGAATTAAATTACATAAACATGATCTTCTCATGTTGAAAATTAATGTATTTTAATAAATAATCAAATGCTTTATATATTATATATATTATATATATATAATATATATATATTCTATAAATGGCTGTTTATATATATATATATATATATATATATATATATATATAACATAATATATATATATATATATAACAGCCATTTGTATTTATAGAACATATTTCCATAAATATAGTTTTGAAAATTTTGGCTTTGTGTTTATTTTGAACAAAATTTTTAAATATATATTTGGAAATATCTTCATGATTAAGGCAATAACTTATTAAATGCTCACTGTTTTCAGATGTTTTTTTTTAAATGTTTCCTTTTCAATGCAGATCGCCTGCAACAGCCATATTAGGATAGTGTGTTTGGTCACTGCTCCTACCATTTCACTAATTAAGGAGCTAGTTTTAGCATTAAAATGCTTTGTGAAATACTTTAAGAGCAAAATGCCAATGAAAAAACAAATCTTAAAAATGATCAAGTTAGTGAGCTATGTTCAGCCTTAAGATTTTTTTTTGTGAATACGACCTCAGAAAAGAAAGACTACAAGACTACTTTCTCTCTACTAAATGCCGGACAAAGAAATCTAGAGATTAGAGTTGCTAGAGGCTTGTCTTGTAAAGTCAAATAAAATCTGTCAAACCCTATTATGCAGGAAAGGGAGATTTAGAGCAACTGTAAAGACATCCTGCAAAGCAAAACAAGGATATCTTAGGACATGCAAGGGACGCAATGCAGCCTGATCTGCTCAGTAATTACCGGAAGGTGCAGAACTCTAGCAGAAGCTCTAGGGAGAAAGACACGCTGCCCAGCCCAAAACACACAGACTTAAAACATTATACCCTTACAAAGAGAATAAATGCAGTTTATTTTAAAATTAGATTTTTCTTGTATTGAACAATTCAAAATATCCAGTACAATGTAAGTAAAAAAGTACCTTAAGTACAGCACGCATAATCTCTCAGACAGCTTATTAAGTTTCAAAGAGAGCATACAGTATATAACCCTGAGCCACAAAACAAGGCATAACTGTCCCCTTTTCAGTGATGTATACTTTGTGATACATCTGGATCTGAAAAAATGTAAATACTGAGAAAAATTACCTTTAAAATTGTCTAGATGTCTATACAAATTCCTGGCAATGCACATTATAAGCCAAAAAATATGTTCTGATATATTTACGGAACAAAATTTACAAAATTTCCTCATGCAACATCATCTTCACTTAATTTTCTAATTATTTTTGGCAAAAAAGAGAAATCTATAGTTTTTACACAAACAGTGTATTTTTCATTATTTCCAAAAATATATCCATGCACTATGAGGACTCATTCACACTCAAATTGTCCTTGGTTCTGATAAAAACCAATAAACAGTGTAAATAGATGCATGAACATTTTGAGTTTACTCGCTTCATTTATGCGTCAAATGCAATTCATTCACACGTCAAATTCAAATTCAATCGCGCAAAACGACAATTAACCCTTCGCTAAGCCACACCCAAAAACCGCCACCCACCAATCGTGGCTTAGCAACTGTAGCTAGCGCAGGGACTCAGTCAAGCTTTCGAGCGAGTGCATATGGATTGTGCAAATCTGATACCCGGTATCCTTAAAGTTTGGACAGGATGGTGGAATTTTTTCCCTTTTCAAAACCTAAAACCCAAGAGGAGAAATGCCAGCGTGGATCAAGCTGTGTGGGGGTCGCTATAGGGGCGGAGCTAAGTTGGTTTTGTTTTGATATTCCTGACACATTCAATGATAGACAGACTGCAATAACTCACACCTCTTACCCTAAACTAGGGATGCTCATTTCGGTTAATTTTGCTAACCGACAACCGCAGCTCATAAATAGGTTATTAACGGGTAACTGGTCAGATTACTATTAATTTTATATTAAACAAATTGACGTGACTATTTTGTGTCTGACACATTAAATATTGCATTTTAAAATACTGATTTATTTTTATATGCTAGCATATTATTAATAGAACAATACAACAGAGCATTTTCATGCACCTGCAGTGTTTTGCACAGAAGAGCAGAATAAACTAAATAAAATGAATAAAATAAATAGGACTGCCCTAAATTATTTTCCACTTAAATAATAAATTTATATTACAAATCGAAAACACTGACTGATTATTTTTAATAACCGGCATAGGCTGTTTTTTTCCAATCATATTTTTGTCTTCCGTCAAATAAAAATAGCAGACTTTCACAAACTGCTGCTCTGGGATGAGCCTCGTGCAAAAGATGCCCCTCTTAACGCAAAGGCGCATTCAATTTGCCCCTTATGCAGTCAAACAAAAAATATATAAAATAATGATTTTAATTGTTTAACTGATAGCATTAATCGGTTACAAATGCACCCTTTCGGTTAACGGTTAATCGATTATTTTGAGCATCCCTACCTTAAACAGATCTAAACTGTGTTTCCTACAAAACACAAAGCAGGTTATGTTTCACAGCTGTCTTATTACTTTTTTTGCTCGATATTGTGAGTAATGCTCCGTTTAAGCCTTTGCCATAACGTTAGTAACTTAGTCATGCTAATAGCGAATAGGTCATAATGACATGAGTTATTCATCCGGAAAATACGGCTACTTACGTGCAAATAGCGTGATCTATCCGCGCGTTCCGCGTCTGGTGTGAACACAGCATAAAAAATGTAGCACTCTTGTGCACAGCACTTCCATAGACCCAAGTAGCACGCTCACACACGTCCCTCAAGCGCATGGATCAGCTGTATTTGATTAGGGTTGGAGCAAAACTGTGTAGAGCTGCAGCCCTCCAGGAATTGAGTTTGAGACCTATGCTCAAGCGCATGGTTACATTAATAAACAATGTAATGGAAAAGAAAAATGCGTTCTGTGTTACGCTGCACTTTCTACCCCTTCCATTCATATGCATATGAATACGGCAGACCAGAAAAAAGTTTTGCATGTTGCTTCATTGCAAAGTTCAAGCTTGGTGAACTCTGACCTGCAAAATCGCATCACGTGATTTTGAGACCAATAAAAGATCAAAATGTAAAACCTCTGTACTCTTCTTTTATGCCGCCCCTTTTTGCAGCACCATACGCATACTTAAACTCTAGTATGACCATGACTTAAGACATATTGGAAAATCAAGCTGCAAACTCATTGATGCTATTTGATTGTAAGGACACTCACCGTTCACTAGGACCACACAGGAACACTCAGTCTTGCCCTCATCGGTCTCTGCCCTGCACACGTACTGCCCTTCATCCTCAGGCAGAGCTTTATCAATAGATAAAGAGTACCGATCACCTACACACAAACACAGATTTCTTGGTTACACTCGGTAGGTCAACAAATAATGACAGATAGTGTTAGAAAAATATGGCGGTAACATGGACTACTCACTCAATCCTTACATCTACAGTGCTCAGCAAGAATAAGCACACCCCTCACAGATTTCTGTTTTAAATGATTGTTTTCTAAAAGCATATATATATTAGATTAGTCAGTGCCAAAGCCAAAACTAGAACTAATCTAACAATAAATGTTAAGATCATATCTAAAAAAATTTGCACACCCAAAGTAAGATGTTGGGGAAAATATTAAGTAAGTTTTTAGAAACAGCAAACATCAAGAGAAACAAAAAATATATAACAATTTTGTCTATTTTTATTTTTGCTTGCAATAGATTTTAATTTAATTGTATAATCTTTCTATTCCTAAAGACGTAAGTTGATCAAACTCTTATTTTAATAGATATAACTGTTTAGTAAAACTCACTAAGATATAGATAAACTACTTAAAACTGTTTTCGAAGTTTTCAAATTCCAACACTTCGAGGGATAGTTCACCCAAAACTGAAAATTATTGTCGAACATGAAATATGTTATTTAAAAAATAACAAGTTGGATACTGGCAACCATTGACTCCGGTGCTCACGGCAACCCGAGTTCGATTCCTGCCTCGTGGTCTCATGCTGATCCTTCCCCACTCTCTGCTCCCCATGTTTTCCTGTAAATACTCTCTACTGTCCTATATAATAAAGGTGAAAAACCCTTAAAAATTATATATATATATATATACATATATATATATATATATATATATATATATATATATATATATATATATATATATATATATATATATATATATATATACACACACACACACACACACACACACACACACACACAGTTGAAGTCAGAATTATTAGCCCCCCTGACTCATTAGCGCCCCTGTTTATTTTTTCCCCCAATTTCTATTTAATGGAGGGAAGATTGTTTCAGCACATTTCTAAGCATAACAGTTTAAAAAAATTATTTCTAATCACTGATTTATTTTATCTTTGTCATGATGACAGTAAATAATATTTTACTTGATATTTTTCAAGACACTTCTATACAGCTTAAAGTGACATTTAAGGCTTAACTAGGTTAGTAAGGTGAACTAGGCAGGTTAGGGTAATTAAGCAAGTTATTGTATAATGATGGTTTGTTCTGTAGACTGTTGGAAAAATATATACAGCTTAAAGGGGCTAATAATTTTGTCCCAAAATAGTTTTTTTTTAAAATTAACAACTGCTTTTATTCTAGCCTAAATAAAACAAATAAGACTTTTTCCAGAATAAAAAATATTATCAGACATATTGTGAAAATGTCCTTGCTCTGTTAAACATCATTTGGGAAATATAAAAAAAACAAAAAAAATCAAAAGGGGGCTAATAATTCAACTGACTTCAACTGTATATATATATATATATATATATATATATATATATATATATATATATATATATATATATATATATATATATATATATATATCATAAAGGTTTTGAACCACTTGAAGGTGACTAAATTGTGAGTGCATTTTCATTTTTGGGTGAAATAAGCCTTTAATATTAACTTCTTTTTTAGACAATTGCTTTATAAAAATCTCTTTCGCCCTGCAAATACCAACAAATCACTCTTAATAGTGTTTCCAGTATGAGGACTTGCAGGACAGCACAAATAAAAAGTACATAAATACACTTTGCTTTCTATATGTATTGTACAGAAAGACATCACTTTTTTTCAACCCAAGCTCATTCTGGAATCGTAGCCCCGCGGACGTTTCTGGAGACCGCGATTTACGTGGCCGGAGGTACGTACGGCCGCGTTTAGTTTTTTCCGAGCGAACGCTGCGGGGCGGTGTGGTGCCGATCCGCTCCTCCTCTTCGCGCTTGCCGGCCGACGGCTCGCCTCCAAGTGGAGGGCTTTCCCGATGCAACCAGTTCGTCCGCTTAGCTCACAGCATTACGTCAGCGGAGCGGAGGCCCGGAGGAGGAGGAGCCGCCGGCCACGGGGACGACGACCGGGATCGAGTCTGGGGAACAGCGGTTCCAGAAATCAGGTAAGATGAAAAACGGAATCTGAAAAATAAGGGCGAGAACACGGCGGGATCCGAAAACGCGGTCGAAATCGAAGACGAGGGCTTTTGCTTTTTTTTTTTTTCTGGACGGCTTTTGCAAACCGTCGATTGGGTTTAGGGAAGGAGGAGTAGGAGGGCGGTTGGGTCAGCCGATCCGGTGGCTTTTTGCACGAGAACAGTGCGGGAGCGAATGGCACGCACTCCCGAGACGCGAAAAAGTGCGCACAGCGGCCTCTCGCGGATCCGCAAAAACAAAAACCGATTGAATACGTACCTCCCGGGACGTATCTCGCGGTCCGCAGAAATGTCCACAGGGCTACGTTTCCACAATGAGCCCGGGTTGCTTTGTTTGGAAAGGACCCTATATACTGTATCAGGTTAACTGTTTATATACTGTCCACCTTATACACAACTCCTTAGCTTAAACACCCTTTTAAACAATAACTATTGTGAAAAGAGCTATAGAACATGTCAATATGGAGATGTGATTCGCTTATGAACATTTCTTGCTTGTTGTCAAACTATTTCGTAACCTTAACAAGAGACAATTGAATCACATCTAAACATTAAACAGATGTTATAACATTATTTATCAATATGTTGACATTTTTGGATTCATGGAAGCTATGGAAATATATAAATGTAATACAGGAAATGGGTTAAGACCATTGTTTTTGTTTACATCCCTCAAAATGGTCTATATAAACAAGCTTGAATTGAATTACTTGGGTATATTTAAATGTAGAATGTAACACTAACCCTCATTAGTGATAATGATGAATTTGGAGGGTCTGATGACTTTTCCATCAAGCATCCATGTCACTTTAGCAGGAGACTCAGATGACAGCTGGCACTGTAGATGCAAACGCTCTCCGTCCAGCACAGTCACATCACTCAGTTTCTCTACAAAAACAGGCTCCTTCTTCCCAGCTGCCTTCGTGGTCTCCTTTATCTCTCCATCCACACAATTCACGTCATTTTCCTTTCCTCTGGGGTCGCCTTGGCTTTCTCCATTCCTATCCTGGGTTGGTGGCTTTTTCTTATTGCCTAAAACAGATCTGAAGTCAACGGCTTCGTTTTTGCTAGGTTGCGTTTTCAAGGATCCAGGAGCAGGTTTTGGGCCTTGGCTTGCTTTTTTCCCTAGCACCGCTCTGAAGTCCACCTGCTGCGGAGTGTTGACTTTGCGTTGCTCTTCTGTCTGAGTCTTGGGCTTGATCTGCCGTTGGAGGTTCCCTCTGAAGTCCATCTGCTCAGCCGTGATCTCCTTCAGATCTTCCTCTGAGACGCTCTTAGTGGTGACCTTGCGGCCGAGCACGGTTCTGAAGTCGATCTGTTCGGCCTCCTGCTGTCGGATCTGATCTTCCCGATGCTCCTTCGTTTCTACACGCCGTTTGAGAAGCCCACGCGTGGAGCCCCCCTCCTCTTCTTGCTGATCTGTCCCACTGCTATGTTCCTCAGAGTGCAACGATGCTGCAGGGCTGGGAGTCTTTGGCTGTCCTCCCCTGCCTAGCGCAGTCTTCTCCACCCCTCGGCTGCAACAGGAAGAGTGGAGGAGAAAAAAACATACAGAGATGTTTAAAGCCCCAGCAAGCTCAGCCCACACTTGAGAGCTGCTTAATCAAGAGGAGAGCAAGTTCAACATGACAGAGTTGCATCAGAGATGACTTCAGAGGCCTTATAGGGAAATGAGAACGAAACGGGGCCCCAAGACTAACCCACACTCTAATGTAGACTACTGCACAGCTGACTGAGGAAGCATCAACATCCTTTAGGGTAACACTTTAGTATAAGATGAAATAGTTAACATGCTCCATGCTCTTACTTTAAGATTAAGGGGTCTATTTTGACGGTCCATGCGCAGAGCGTAAAACGCAAACACTTTCAGGGCGTGTCAGAACGCATTTTTGCTAATTTAAGGACAGGAAAATCTGCTTTGCGCCGTGGCGCATGGTGTAAAAGGGTTGAGTTTATTTTCTTAATGAGTTATAGGTGTGTTTTGAGAATAAACCAATTAGAGTCTCATCTCCCATTCCCTTTAAGAGCCAGCTGCGTCACGCCAAGAGCACATTCGCTATTTACAGGACGTAAAGTAAGTCTAAGTACAAAAACTGAGCATTTCACAAGCAAACAGTTAACAGTTTTTTTTTTACAGAAAACTGTTAAACAGAGCATCTACTGCGTGAGAATGAGAGATAATGGATCTACTTTCACTTTCGCTCTTGGATAGGGAAACCTTTACACACAGACATTAATTAGTCTATAAATAATTAATTGCGTTGGTTAAGTGCAAATATTCGTTTCTAAACTATTTCTAAATTCAGTTCTAATTTCCAGCAAACGAATAAATGAACAATAATAAGGAAGTGTGCTCAAAAACCTGAGTTATATCCTAAAACACATGCTGTGCCCCATATGGTCTAAAACCTGACAGGTGGGCAAATCTAAGCTTGTTTTTAATAAAACAAATATAAATATGGATATAATAAATAATACTGCTAATAATAATAACATCATACAAAAGCAAATTGTTATGAATGAACTGAAAAAGCCTCCCGAGATGAAGAAGACATAAAAGCAGTGATTTTTCAAATTTATAGGCTAGAAAATAATATGTTTTGTAATATTTTAATCCTTTATATTTATATCCTATATGTATTCTCATTATATCCTATATATATCCTTAATATTAAATTTTTTTCATATGTAAAGATATTTGCCTATTGCTCTCTTGTGTGTATTAAGCAGTGTGTAAGCGAGGTGCAACTCTGCGTTGGAATTTAGACCGGGTTTGTTTTGGTCTAATGAAAAATCTATTATAGTTTCTTAAAATAGCAACACTTCCTTTTTAGACTAGAACGCCTATGGGCGCACATATGAGCGCTGATGCATTTGCTATTTAAACAGCGTAGCGCAACACCTCAAAACCACTCTTGTGCCAAGCTGAAACTAGCAAACAAGTATTGCGCCGCGCCTTGCGCCACATTGCGCCGGGTGTATGATAGGGCCCTAAGCCTTGAAATCACTCCAGAGTGGAGGAAAACATCCCCAACAGCACACAAGGGTTAAATGAAAAGTCACTCTGCAGCTATTTCACCTTAAAATAAAAAGTAACCAAATTTAGCTATATAGAAAGATTATGTAGATTTAGTGCCGGGGTGGTTAAGGGCCATAGGCTGTAAATATAGCTTTAGGGCAGAGAAGAGTGAGAATAGTAGGAGAACGTACCGTTTGTTAGCATCATCAGCAGACAGCATGGGATCCTCGCTGACATGCAGAGTGGCCACTGACCGGCACTCTCCTACTTTATTTCTGGAGATTTATGAATGCTGGGGTTAATTTATGGTGAAGTGGACAAGGAACTGAAAAACACAAACTTTTTTGATTTGACAGAACAGTTTCTATGCATGCTTCTATTGTACATCTACTGTACATCTATTGTACATCAAATATGTTATGATAGCTGAAAACCTGTAGCATTGACATCCATTGTAGGTAAAACAAATACTATGAAATAGAGCTGCACGATTCTGGCTAAAATGAGAATCGCGATTTTTTTGCTTAAAATAAAGATCACGATTCTGTAGATGTAAAATAAAGGTATGGTAAAAACAAACATATGGCACAACATCGATAATAATATTATGTGTAGGTCTACTGGCTTCTATAAATAATTCTATTCTACTTATAATAATTCTGATGCTGAATTATTATGTTTGAGATATATGCTTGCAATCTGTCATATTAGACAATTCTATTCACTGGTAATTTGCCATTATCAGATTATATTCAACAATATATAGGCTAGAGTAGTTATACTGACACTGTAAACATTTATTTTCATGCACAACTGTGTGTTCACTTTGAAAGAAAAACATATGCTTGCCGTAATCATAACACTAAAATGCGATATGATCATTTAAATGAAGTGCACACTTTCGATTTCATTCTGACTGCTAAGTACTTGTTCATACTTCGTGCTTCGATCACTCTGTGCCACAAACTGAATATTATTTTCAACTGTATTACCTGTCACTGGCACCATTGGCAGGTTCTGTTCACTAAAGTAGACCCGCGCGCGTCTATTATTAAGTAGAGCGCGCGCCGCCCTCTCTGATAACAGCTCACGGTCAGCAGCTCATGTCACGTGTGATTTCCCGACCGCGAAAACATCATTATATGAAGAGAAAAATGACGTTTTTAGGTGAATAATACCTCATTAATACAGTATGTATTAATACAGTATGTATACAGTATGTACAGAATGTGACTCATTCAACATCATTTGGAGGTGTCAATGTCACCAGGGGCGGATTGGGACAAAAATTCAGCCCTGGCACTGTAGCCCCACCATCCCGCATTACCACACCGACACAGCCCCACCCACGGACACGCACATTTACTATTTAATTTGGTGTACAGATGGTGAAATAATATGACATTCTTGCCAGATTTTGATTATGTCCGCATAACCTCGGATTGGGTCGGCCCATCTTGAAACCAGGCAGCAGTTGCCGATTGGGCCAAATGTTTAACATTTATTATTATTTTTAATTATCATCATCGTAATATCACATCTAGCAAGAGAAAAAAGCTGTCTGAACTTTAAAACAGTATATATATATATATATATATATATATATATATATATATATATATATATATATATATATGTATATATATATATATATATATATATATATATATATATATATATATATATATATATATAAACTGACCGGCCCACATTTAAAAATTGGTCCGGCCCTTCTGGTATTTGCCAGTAGTGCCAGATGGCCAGTCCGCCCCTGAATGTCACTGAGCAACGTGTGTAAAACAATGAAAAGACTTGTGCAGCCGTTTAACAACAATAATCTTTACTGCTTTACTTTTCGAGTAATGCCGAGTTCAGACTGCATGATTTTCGTGTCACAGATGTTTTCACACTGCTTGACTATCTGGGCTTGCGTTTCGTCGCTGCTTTGTTTACACTGCAAGATGGTTCGGCGACAGGGACATTCACATTGCATGACTTTACTATAGGGAGAATCGCCGACAACTTCGTCCAAACTACGTCTCACAGCCAAAAACACGTAGTATATCTTTTGGTATTAACTACATAATGAGAAAGAATCCTTTAATGGGGTAGAACATGTACATGTTTGCTCACCTGCGTTTAAAGGGAATTAGCCATTTCTCCTCAACATTGATAATAAACTAATTTCTTTCTGTATGAAACGTCAAACAGACACGTATGCTCTTGAGTCCAGTCAAACCTCCACTAGTTTTTCCTTCATTTTGTGGGTCCAAATAAACCGAAAATGAGCGCTTTTAACTTCCCCCAGCCTCCCGCTGGCCTGCAGCAGGTATACACACACGCACACACAAGTGAAAGCTGCTCTCTCATTGGCTGTAGGCAATGGCTGATGTTATTTTCAGTCAAAACTCAATTCACACGGCATGATTTGAATCGCCGACAGCTCCAGATATTCAGCACCCCAAATATCTCACAGGCATCGGCAACTCATCGGCGATTCTCTCAGATCGCATCTTTGATCGTTCATACTGTGTGATTGTCACTCACGTGCATGAGCAGCGATTTGCCTGTGATTTCAGGCATTTGTCGGCGATTTCTCAAAACCTGTCGGCGAGCCAAAATCGGGGCAAAAATCACGCAGTCTGAACTAGGCATAAGTGAGATCTATTAAAGTAGTTTTCAAAATCTGAACTGCAATAATAAACAGAAAATTCTGGTTTTCCAATTCAAGTGAATGAGAATACTTGGCTCAACAAGAGTAATAAACAACTTTAGTTAACAAGGAAATTCACTTGAAAACTATTTTACAGCATTGAATTTTGCTTAAAATAAGTTACTGATGCAATTTTAATGAGGGAAAATGTGTTCCATGATTACATAAATTACACCAATAAATGATTTTAAGTGTACCAAACAATGACTGTAAAAAATATGGACGACGCGACAGCCCTTTTTCCCATTGAACGCCTTGAGGGCAAAACGCCTGCTTGACGGGCACAAACTGTCGCAAAAGACTGCTGAAATTGGAGCCAGACATGCGCAGAAGGACTGTCTGATGGAGCCAGAGGAGGAGCCGCGAAAATGAGCAGAGTCGAGCTTCCAATCAAACGCTTTATGTAAAATCAACTACGCCCCCCGAACTTCTCAGCATGCGTTTGCTGTCATATCAACACAAATGGATGTAATAACGTTAACAAATATGAGGGTTTTATATATTCAATCGCGCCAGCTCCAGGCCGCAACACATAACTTACTCGCGGCGTCGCGGGCTGATTCCGGCTCGCATGCGGCAGCGCCTGCTCGCTCGGCCGCCGCATCTGGCTCGATTGACTCGGGCTGGAATTGGGTAGTGAGTCCAGGCATCCGGAGTAGGTCCAGCAGAGGTAACATTAGTCAGTCTGAGCTCTAAGAGATAAGTCTCCGGCAGGCGAGAATCTAGCCGGAACTGTGTTTTGCTATCTGGGTGGCTAGGCGTGTATCAGCAAACTAATAAAGCCCGAAAAAAGCCCTGAACTTAGCGAATAAACAGTGTTCCACCAGGATCATGTATGTCAGAAACTATAGTTTACTGCTGAACTCATTTTGTCATGGTAAAATAACACAGAAATCGAATAATAACATTTCAGTCTACTTCAGTCTCCTGCCGAAGCGCAGACGCCGCGCTTTGAGAAACTGTCAATCACAGCTGTCAATCACGATGACACGCCCAGCATTAAATTACTGCTAAAAACAAACTGTTTACAAAAATGAAGATCTGCACCTATTTCAGCACAATAACCAGTGCCTTAATCGACCAGAACTATCTTTCGGGACATTTTATTGCAAGTGTAATATTTTTTTTTATTTGGGCTCAAGTCTCCTTCATTAACACGGAGGAGGCGGGCTTTATGACTTGTACTGCAGCCAGCCCCCAGGGGGCGATCTAACGGCCGAAACCTTCACTCAAACGTAGGCTTGCGGCACACTTGGTACCAAACAAAAAACATCTAACCAAACATTTACCAAACCAAATTATATAAACAATAGTTTAGAGCATTTTTAAAATAATTCTTACTTAAGATGAATCTCGTAGTTTCCAGCGTGATGCATCGCCACTTTCCTGATAAGCAGCGAGACAACATCTTCCTTCTGTAGGATCTCAAAGTCCCCATCACCAGATATTACCTGTCCATCCTTCATCCAGAGGAATTCTGGGAAGGGGTCACCAGCAATGGCGCAAGAGAGCAGAGCATGTTGACCCAGAGAGGCGGTGGAGGACTTGGTTTTAGTAATGAACCAGGGCTGAACACCATCTTGAGGCTCTGGGAGCAACAAATAAATCCATCAGTGATTAACATTCGTATTCAACTTTATGTGTTAAAGCAGTGGTCCCCAACCCCCGGGCCGCACAAAAATTAATTATCTTTAAGTGAGCAGATAAAGTAGCTGCATTTAAAGCCAAACTGGATTTGTGGGGACGGCGCGTGAACAGAGGCATATTGGACTTGCATGATATGTGTGTGTGCAGGCGCTCACGGGCTGTTTCACGGGCACACGCAAAGCTTGAAGGTAAACAAACAACGGCTTATCATAAGCATCTTATCGATAATTATTTACACGGTTGGCATTAAGATGAACATATAAACATTATCTGCCTAATTTCTAGCATCTAAATGTGTCTGGGAAAATATTCAAAGGCTTTTATTCTCATAAACCGCGCGGACGTAAATGCGTCTGACTGTTCTGATTGGCTAAAGCAGACGTCTCACGTCAGCACAATCTAGACGTGCATGCACACTTTCCGGCAGTTTTCCTTCTGCGTTTACACAGCGCAGCATTTCGGCAAATTACCGGTAATGTTACAACCTCTCTTTCCGGAAAATAAATAGCCAGAACGAATTTACCGGTATTTTTAAAAAGGCCCTGTTCACACATACACACCATTTCCCAGAAAATTGCCGGTAATATTCCGGAAAGGTCTGTATGTGTGAAAGGGGATTTTGTCTGCCATTACTCCCAGATGGGACCATCTCGTTGCAAAGAAACAAGCTCAGGGCTCCCATTGATTTAGCGTTACGGACAGTTTTTGATGTTATAATATGTTATATTGTTGGAGCAATGTGTTAATAAGGTTATTAATTCCTAATGTTATAATAGCATTGTAATGTTGGAGCAATGTGCTAATAAAGTTCCATATGAGTACAGTGGATTCACATTTATTATTATTATTATTATTATTATTATTATTATTATTATTATTATTGTTATCCCCCGGTTTGCAGTAAAATTGTCAAGCGTTGACTGGTCCGCAGTTAGAAAAAGGTTGGGGACCACTGTGTTAAAGGGATAGTTCACCCAAAACTGACAATTTTGTCAACATTTAATCACTCTTCACTTCACTTGTTTCTAAATATTTTAAAGAAATCTGTAAACCAGTAACCATCCACTTCCCCTTTTTTCCCCAGCTTTCTTTAAAACATCTTCTTTAGTGTTCAACAGGTAAGAAGAAAAACCTTAAACTTGTTTGGAATCACGTGATGTTGAGTAAATAATGAGTTACTTTTCTCTTTTTTTTCTGCTGATCTACCCTTTTAGGATCATAAAATCTTGTCATCACCTTAAAAAGTCAGTTCACTCCAAATTGTTTTTTTTTATTAATTGCTCACCATCATGTCACTTCAAACTCTTAAAACTTTCGAACATAAATACACAGACATTTTAGATGAAATCTGAGAGCTCCCTCATCCTCCATAGACAGCAATGGTTCAGACTCATTCAAAGCCCACACAGGTACCAAAAACATCATCAAAGCAGTCCATGTGTCTTCAATGGTTCAATTAGAATATCATGAAGCTACAAGAAATTTTGTGTAAACATTTAACAAAAATAATTACTTTATTCAACAGTTTCTTCTCCTCTGTGTGGAGTATAAGGTGCATGTACTTGAGGACTGTACAATGATGTATACCCCGAGATGCCTATTTGTGTTTGAAACAAAGCGAAACTAAGAAACTGTGTGACCTAGTGTGATGCACACAAAGTGCATAGTGCTCTCGTGAACATGCACCCTATACTGACACTGAAGTGGGCTGCACAATAGATGCGTTGCATGCCACACCCTGCCCTGTCACACCCCATATTTACATTGCTTTCTATATGCTGCTTAGCAACACAAACAGACTGTGTGCATAACCTTATAGAAAATAATGTTTAAACGTCTAAAAGACATGTCATTTTTTAATTTAAAACCAGGATATAGCATTTTACAATAAAAAAAAATATATATATATATATATATATATATATATATATATACAGTATATATATATATATATATATATATATATATATATATATATATATATATATATATATATATATATATATATATATATATATAATATTGGAAATATACAAACATATTTCAGACATCAATACCTTAAAATTTGGTTTCTTTATTAGTACATCTACAGTACATTATGAATGTAAAATTCTGCTAACAATATAAGAAGGCATGTCTTGTGGTGGCGCAATGGCCACCTTGACGAGAGTAAAACTGTTTAAAAAAAGTCGTTATTTTTCAGTTTTTTTAGTTATTTTTTATTTGTGTAGCTTGAAAACATTCTGATTGAACCACTGGATGCAGGATCTGAATCTGTTTTGAGGATGTATTTTTGCTATTTTTGAACCATTGATTTCTATAGGCTGATTTATACTTCTGCGTCAAACGCCAGCGTATGCTACGACGCATAGCCCATCGCCGTGGCCGTCGGCGTCGCTGATGTGCACCTCTCAAAAAATGTAACTACACGTCACAACAACGCGTAGCGCAAGCTCTGTGATTGGTCAGCTTGGTAGCGCTGACGAGTCTGGGCGGGACCAAGAGCCGCGCGAATGGCGCGAGCGATTGTTTACAAGTGCGGAGTCCCGTGAATGAGCTCCGGATGGAAAGTTTTGTTTTGTGTTTACCTCATAGTTAAAGTTGTTGCACATCCGCCGGTTCCTGCCTCAAAATGAGCGAGTTTGAGTCACTTGTACATCCAGGAAGTGTTCAGGAAAAGCAAAACACCAGCGAAGAAACTCAACACACAGGAACATTTACACCTCACTGCCAACTAGCGTTTCGGAAGTGTTAATGCAGACCAACAGAGACAGCGCGCAGAAGTATAAATGCACAGCTACGGGCGTTGCATGCGCTGTGGGTTACGCCGGTCACCTGACGCAGAAGTATAAACCAGGCTTATGGAGGATGAGGGAGCTCTCAGATTTCATCTAAACTATCTTAATTTGTATTCTGAAGACAAAAGTCTCAGGGGTGAGCAATTCATAACGGAAGTTTCATGTTTGTGTGAACCATTTAAAAAAGTTGGTTGCAGGAAAATCTTCTATCAGTATTTGGTGGTAGCTTACACCTGCTTTGTCGTTTTGCTATGCAATTCGTACCTTGTACAGTGAGTGAAGCTTGAGTTCGAGCGTTGCCGGCTTCATTCCACACCTCACAAGTGTATGTCCCCGTGTCCTCAGGAAACACCTCCTGTATGAAGAGTGTATACTGACCGCCCTTCTTTTCAAAGTGAAAGTCCTCTGACTCCTGGATCTCTTTTCCATTATGCAGCCAGACCACCTCAGGTGCAGGGTTTCCTACATACAAAACACATCACATTTGCAAATAGTATTAGAGATAGTTCACTCAAAAAATGTATGCACTCAGACTCAAATGATTCCAAAACATTGTGTTTCTTTGCTCTGTGAAGTTTATTTATAAACTAATTTTGAGAGGAGGGCGAGGCAGTGGCGAAGTAGGTAGTGCTGTCGCCTCACAGCAAGAAGGTTTGCTGGGTCGAACCTCGGCTCAGTTGGCGTTTCTGTGTGGAGTTCTCCACCAACAATGTTCTCCCTGCCTTCATGTGGGTTTCCTCCGGGTGCTCCGGTTTCCCCTACAGACATGCGGTACAGGTGAATTGGGTGGGCTAAATTGTCCGTAGTGTGTGAATGTGTGTGTAGATGTTTCCAAGAGATGGGTTGCAGCTGGAAGGGCATCCGCTGCGTAAAAACTTGCTGGATAAGTTGGCGGTTCATTCCGCTGTGGCGACCCCAGATTAATAAAGGGACTAAGCCGACAAGAAAATAAATGAATAAATAATTTCGAGAGGATCATGTGCTTATGATTTATCATGGCCGGTCTCATATTAGCTAATCCCGATCTTCCACTCATATGAGCCCTAAGCTACTATAAATAACCACTGTTTTCAGTCCATTTTATTTTCGTTTGGAAGAAACCCCCTTTCCTCCCCTATTCTTCTCCTTTACCACTGATCGGGTGGCACGGCGGCCCAGTGGTTAGCACTGTGAGCCCCACAGGAAGATCACTGCCGGTCCTGATCCCGCCAGGCCGGTAAGCGTTTCTGTGAAGAGTTTGTATATTTTCCCCGTGTCCGCGTGGGTTTTCCCCGGGTTCTCCGGTTTCCTCCCACCATCCAAAGATATACAACATGCATACCAATCAAGCACTTGTCTAACCCTTTTTTCTCATGTGTTCCCTTAGCTACCACGGCCAGGGAGTTCTGAGATCCACCGAGCTCAGGCTGCCCTCTCGCTCTGCCAACGGGAGGAAGCCCCGGGCTCGAGGATCCCTTGAGCTCGGGGCTCTCTCCCAGGACAGCATGCCAAATAAGCTTTTGATAGATCCTCAGCTGAGTGTGAACTCTTGAAATTCTATTGAACACTAAAGAAGTTATTTAAAGATAGCTGAAAACCTGTAACTCTTGACTTCCACAGTAGGAAAAACAAACACTATGGAAGGTAGCGGTAACAGATTTTTAGTTTTCTTCAAAATATATTCATTTGTGTTCAACAGAAAGTCAAACATGCTTGATGACATGATGACATCATTTTCAGTGTTGGGTGAACTATGATGTCAATTATCATTAGAGGCGATGAATGGGATCAGTGGGACAATGAGAATTGTGTAGTATGACTTACAAGTCACAGTACTGACATTGGATTGAATAATAATAATAACAATATGTTGCTGAAGTCACATGTCCAGGCAAATCCCCAGTTAGGAGACTCCTCAGATGTCGTCCTTTAAACAGGAAATGCTCACAATTATATAATGAGCAGAGTTAAGTCATTTGTACAAACACACACAAGCACACAAGACCCCGGTCGACGCACAAATGATGCCCCTTAAGGGAGTACAAAGGAAATTCCATTCATTACAACTTAACACAGCAAAACACAAGCTATTGAGAAATATGGAGAGGCTTTTGGAAGTTTTGGCACAATTTTATCCAGTATAAACCTGTATTAAAAAGCGAGATGTAAAAGAAAGCTCTACCAAGAACAATTTAATCCTGTTTTGGAACAAAACAATCGATCTACAGGTGTGAAAGCACACTAAGACCGGAGTTCAATAGTGTTAAGTGGCTACTACATTTTAATGGCTAAAGTGTTAAGCGGCTTTTTACATTATACAAGCCCATTTCATGTTGAATAAAAGCTAAAATTCAAAACTCAATAAAAAATAACTCAAGAGGTCTGTTACCACTACATAGTTTAATACATTGTTGTAACTTAAAAATTCTAAATTGCTGATTAGATTAAAACTTTTAAGTTGTCGGAATATTTGATTAAGTTTTTACAACAGGAAAATATTCAACCCGGGCTCATTGTGGAAACGTAGTCCCGCGGACGTTTCTGGAGACTAGTAGTCCCGCGGCTGCAGTTTTTGTTTTTCGCACCTCAGATGCCTCTCGCGAGTGCAGTTCGCGCCCGGGCTGTTCTCGTTTGAACCCACCAGAAGCCGCTGTCCGACTGACCGGATGATTGACTGTGCGACCGGCCAATCGGCTAACCTGCGCTCTTCCTTCCCTAAACCCAACCAATTTTACAGATCGACTCGCCCGCCCGCTCACTTCCCTAAACCCGAGCAACAGTTTACAAAAAGCCGTCCAAAAAAAGAAAAGCCCTGATTTTTTTATACCGCATTTTCGGATTTCACCGCGTTCTCACCCTGTTATGAAACTCGTTCACTTAATTTTTGGGATTCTGTTTTTGTCTTACCTGATTGCTGGAACCGCTCTTCCCCGGACTCGAAACCGATCGCCGTGGTCGACTCCTCTCTTCATCTCGAGCCTGCCGACGTACACGGTGAGCTGAGTGGACAAACGGGTTGCAGCGGGGAAGCCCTCCACAAGGAGGTAAGCGGTCGGCCGGAACAGCGTCACACCGCCCTGCAGCGTTCGCTTGAAAAAAATAAACGCGGCTGTACGTACCTGGCGGGACGTATTCCGCTGTCTCCAGAAACGTCTGCGTGACTACGTTTTCAGAATGAGCTTGGGTTCAAAATATTTCTAATTACATCAACAAAAAAAATGCAGCTTATTTAAGGGTAAATATGTCTGTTAGTTTAAAACAATATTTAACTAGTATCAACCCAAAGAAATTGGGTTGATAATTCAATTTTTCTACAATAATGGAGTTCTGGATTTCAAAGCTCCTCCCCCCTCTGAACAAGCAAAAAGCAAGTCAGGACAAGTTTAAAGGCTGGTTTATACTTCTGCGTCAACAGCGTAACCAACGGCGCATGCAACGCGCGTAGCTGTGCATTTATACTTCTGCGAGCTGTCTCTGTTGGTCTGCATTAACACTTCCGAAACGCTAGTGAGGAGTTAAAGTGTCTCTGTGTCGAGTTTCTTCGCTGGTGTTTTGTACTTTCTGAACGCTTCCGGCATGTAAGTGGCTCAAACTCGCTCATTTTGAGGCAGGAACCGGTAAACATGAAACAAAACTTTCTATCAGGAGCTCCTTCGCGGGACTCCACACTTGTAAACAATCGTTCCATTGGGCTCTCGGTCCCGCCCAGACTCGTCAGCGATACCAAGCCGACCAATCAATTGCCCTACGCGTCGTTGCGATGTATAGTTACGCCCCATTCACATGGGGCTTCAGCATCAACGCTTGACTGAAGGCGTGTCTGAAGTTGGGATTGAAGCTATCGTCATAGAAGCGTCAGCCAATGAAATTCAGTCAGCAATAGGCCACTGTCTGAACTTTTGTATTTGCATACAATGATCTGATTGGCTGACGCTTCCGTCGGCGCTTGAAAAGTTGAGCTAGTCCCAACTTCTGAAGCGAGCAACGCCTCTGAAGTGGCGCCGACAGATCCACAATGCAGTTCGGCAACGCCTGACGTCACCCATTCAAAGTAAATGGGAAGCGTTGATGCTGAAGCCCCGTGTGAATGGGGCGTTACATTTTTTGAGAGGTGCACGTCAGCGACGCCGACGGCCACGGCGTAGGGCTATGTGTCAGTTGTTGGCTAATCCTGGTAAATATAGTTGAAGTTAGCAGTGTTTTTTGACTCAAAAAAGTTTTTTTCTTGGAATTGAACCACAAGACGGAAACCATCATACTTGAGGGCATGAGAATCCTAAATGAAATGGATATCTGAAGGTGCTGAGGTCTGCTCATGGGCATATTACATGCTCTGAATCTGAACTACCTCAAGGAACTTAAATATACTTGTGAAGTTTCTCGAACTTGATGGACTGAAGCCCAGTGCAAAAGTAATGCATCTCAAGAACATTATTTTCTGAAGTCTATCTGAAGTCTGAACACTGGATTGATTTTAAATTTTAATTTAAAAAAGTAGTCGAAACAACTTAGTTTTTTGAGGACTCAACTTAAAAAATGGAGTTTATGCTATGTTAAAGTGCCACTGATTGAAGAGGAAAAGGCCATTTGGCTAACATAATAAAGTTTATTGTCTAAACCTTTTTTGTTAGATGTTGTTGTAACTTGAATATATTGATGAAAACTGTTGCCTAAATTTTTTTTTGTTCGGTCTAAACAATATTTTTTAGAGTGTTGAATGCAAAATGTTCCCTTATATTTGCTAAGTATGATTGTTTGTCAGTGTAGATTAATAAGCTGAATGTTGTATACCTGTCACTTCCACGGTCATGATGACCTGACTGCCGTCCATCACCCTGAGGTCCTGTAGACCTTTGAGGAACAGCGGAGCAGATGTTCTCCTCAGATCAGTAACAGGAGGAGCAGCAGACCTTTTCACCCTTGGCCTTGCTGGAGAACAACACACATGCTACTGTACATGAAAAGCCGGATTTACAAATGAAAGCATATTACATTCTTATTCATTTATTTGTGTTCTGGACATTTTGAAGAACATCATTATGCGTGATTAGGGGGCCCCTGGTCGTCGCGATTTTCAATAATTGAAAATCCGGCAACCGCAATAATCAAACTCTTGGGAACAACTGTGATCGGAACCAAAGTTCACAGGTCTGTGTTCTCTAAACACCTCTCAAGCGGTGGACTACTTCATTCTAATTGCTTGCCGCCGAACCGCGTCAAAGCTCATTACCATAAAGTTGACTTGATTTCAATTCTCCTCGAGGCTCACACCGGAGAAGACGCGCCGTGCTATTACTCGCCGCCGGTTCTCATTGAAAATGAATGACTTCTGGCTACTTTGACGTTCTTGCCGCTTTCGGTTTGTGATCGCTCTTCAGTTTGTAAAGGCTTCCCCGCTTTCTTGCTCCACCGCGCCTCCCTTCCCCGCTCCTCAATTTGTGATCGCTTCCCCGCGTTGCCCCCCCCCCATCATCAGGGGGCCCCATCAGTAATCCCTGAAGGGGGGCCTCCACATTTTGCGCTACGCCACTGATATCAGGGATTATAGACCTTGAACTATAGATATTGAAATTTAGCATTTTTATTACAGCATAAAAGTAAAACATGAACACGGTTATGAATATATTAAAACATGTGCTTGTTTGTTGTAAAAATTCGTAAGAATGACAAGAAATACTAATTTGTGGATCTCCTGACTTCCGGGTGCAACAATCCTGCCGTTGTAGCTGGTGTATTCTGGGAAAATTTTTCATCTACCCCTTCCCTTTAGCCCTTCGCCTTAAGGCCAAAGAGAATTGGAACACTGCTACCCTTAGTTATTTGTAATGTTTTACATATTAAGTGCATGACACCATGCTACTTTTATGCACCTAAACGCATACTGAACATCTGACTGTAGCATAATGCTAAAGGGTCTGAAATGAATTTCGGAGACAGAGTAAATTTTTCTTCATGTCGTCCTCTGAAACTCAGATTAGATCCAGCTACTGCAGTAAGTGTGTGTGTGTGTGTGTGTGTGTGTGTGTGTGTGTGTGTGTGGGAAAAGACTGGTATTTTACATTTTTAACCCACTTGAACATGGAACCTCCGCCTTCAGACAGCCTCACAGTCTGCATGAGAGCAGATGTTTTTCTAATCCCGGGGACCTTAAAATAACTCTCTAAAAACACAGTCATGATATTCACTTAATAACGGAGCGCACAGCAAACTCCTGCAGACTGTAGGAGAGGATGAAATGCAGAAAGCAAACGTGTGTCTTACCTTTAACCAGCACATGGGCTGTACACACCGCTCTGCCATGCTCATTCACTGCTACACACGAATAAACGCCTGCATCCTCCAATACAGCCGCCTGAACTCTCAGCTGAGCTTTACTGTTGTCAAACATGGTATGGGAGAATGGAATGGGCTTATCTGAAAGACAGAAACAAAGACTGCATTAGTAACTGATGAACAGATTCAAGGACTGATCCTTTAAACGTAGCACCGAGGATTGGGTGGAGATGATTCCTAATAAGATAGTTCACCCAAAAATGAAAATCTCCTCACCATTTATGTACACTCAAGTGGGTCAAAACGTTTATGAATTTATTTTTTCTTTCAAACACAAAACAAGGTATTCTGAACAACAATGTTGGGAAAAAAGCAGCACCATTTACATCTATAGAAGGAGCAAATACTATGAATATCAATTATGCCGGCAGCTAGCTCTCAAATGGTCGCCCACTGAAGCTAGGCAGGGCTGCGCCCGGTCAGTACCTGGATAGGAGACCACATGGGAAAGCTAGGTTGCTGCCGGAAGTGGTGTTAGTGAGGCCAGCAGGGGGCGCTCAACCTGTGGTCTGTGTGGGTCCTAATGCACCAGTATAGTGACGTGGACTCTATACTGCTCAGTGAGCGCCGTCTTTCGGATGAGATGTTAAACCGAGGTCCCGACTCTGTGGTCGTTAAAAATCCCAGGATGTCCTTCGAAAAGACTAGGGCAGGGGTGTCAAACTCAATTCCTGGAGGGCCGAAGCCCTGCACAGTTTAGCTCCAACCCTGCTCCAACACACTTACCTGTAGGTTTCAAACAAGCCTGAATGACTCAATTAGTTTGATCAGATGTGTTTAATTAGGGTTGGAACTAAACTGTGCAGAGCTGCGGCCCTTTTGGAACTGAGTTTGACACCTGTGGACTAGGGGTTTAATCCCGGCATCCTGGTCAAATCTGCCCACTGGCCTCTGTCCATCATGGCCTCCTAACCCTCCCCATATCATCACCATCGTCTAATGTTATTTGCTTGCAGAAAAAGTAAATGTTTTTGCTTGCAAATGTTTTTACTGTTAAATGGACCCACCAAGATTCAAATAGCTAAAATGATTCTAAAATCATGAGGAAAAAGCTGTTTTTACTTTTCTTTATTTTTGAAATTCTCTTTTACCCTGAGATTGTAAATCTCTCAATCTCTCTCTCTCTCTCTTACTCTCCCTCTCATAGATGTCCAACTTACCAAGTCCATCTCTGTGTAATATTTCAGGGTGAGTGATGCATGTTTTTCCTTATATGGTTGTAAGGTCTCATATTTGCTCAAAGGCCCCTGCTGAGAGACGCAGTTTCTCAGGGAAACCCAGACTCTAGCTCAAGAGACTTTCAGCTGGACTGTAGTGAACCACAATGTATGACAGTCTGATTCTTGTTCCAGTTTCTACAGTTTCTGTGTCAAAGGCGAAAAGTGTTTTCTAACCATTCAAAACAAATAGAAACACAATGCAGCCTTTTCTGAGCTAAAATACTTACTATCTTATATTTTTCTCACGATTAAATAAGATATTGACCAAAATAGTAACCATTTACTTGAAGGGGTGTTCATAAGAACGTCATTAAACCTTTATGACACACATCATGAATGTGAATTAGATTTTATGCATGCTAATTACAACTGTCATTCACTCATTTATATCATTTCAAATACAAAGATACAACTTGACATAAAAAAATGCATCAAAACCTATTTTTGTCTTTGTCATGACAACATGTCATAAATCTGTCATAAACATGATTGTCATGATACCATTATATTTGTCATGAATTTTATAACAGTGTCATTAATATATTTTTGACCCGAATTTGGCATTAAAATGTCATTAAATATTAATTTAATTGTGGAAATATATAAAATCATATGAAATTATTGTTTGGTGTCAACGTCAATACGAATAGGCAAAAGATCCGGACAAGTGACAAATCATTTAAATGACTCTGTGTCGAATCTTTTATTAAAAAAACCCTATATATTTTTTAAACAAGGTACACTTTCAGATTTAAACATCAGCTGGATGTTTTCATTCACTTAGAGCTGTGTTGCACACTGTATGGAAGGTCATTTTCAAAAACCCATAATAGGGGCTCTTTAAAGTTGCATTGTTTTGAAGATGGCAGGTTTGATATCCTTTCTCAGGCTTAGAAACTAAAGGTAACACAGTCACTACAATATCAGTTTAATTGTTGAATTTGTTTAATTGTTGACATTGTTGAGCCAAAAATGAAAATTCCCTCACTATATACTGCTTTTAATGTTTTTACACATGTATACATTTTTGTGTTCTGCTGAAGAATGTTGGATGAAGCAGCCATTGGCATCCGTTGTAGGAACTTAAAATACTATGCTAATGAATGGAGTTTTTTTTTTTTTTTTGTCAGCATTCTTTGTTTGTGTTCAAGAGAAGAAACTACATAGGTTTGGAAGAAGTGAAGAGACAAAAAAAAATCCAACAAATGATCACTGTACATGCAATTGTTTCTAAGACACTCAGCTGAAAGACATATGTGGCTGCATTCAGTGTCACATGGACAGAAATTAGAGATAAAACAAATCAGCCAATGCACTGGGGAAGTAAAACAACATGTATGCCATCTACTGGTTAAAAAGAAGCACTTTTCTTATTTTAATATGTATTTAAATATTTCACATTTGCTGTAGTTGATAGTATTCAAGATGATTTAATTATATCTCTACACATCTTATTCATTTTTTAGCTTACTTCTTTGGCAACTAGACATTTTTTTATATTAACTTTATTTATACTATTATTCATGGCTGCACAATATTGGAATAAAAATTTACATTGCAATTTTTTTCCTCTGTGATATATTCTGTGCTATAAATACAATTTCAGCAGATGACTTAAATAACTCTATTTGCAAAGTCATTATTTAGATTAATTGGGATGACAGAGGAGTGAAATATAAATAAATAAATATATTTATACAACAGTTCTGTCTGGTTCTTGAATCTGATTGGCTGATAGCAGTGCAATATTTTGCCAGTTACATCACACAAAGGCCTCTTCACCCTTCACTGTGTATTACTCCGCCCACATACAGCCAGCAACAAGCAGAGAGACGCTACAGTTTGACAAATATTACTGCTGTTAGACAACATAATGTACTTTTGAGGCTTTTTTAGTCGAGAATGTAGTTGTTTAGATTGCAACTATGCAGTTTATTTGTAAGAATAGTGCCTATTTTAAAATATTTACAATTTCAGATTGACAGCTCGTTGGCGGCCAAAGACAGTTGACGTTGTCTATCCACCAGAAGGTGCCAGGGCCGCATAATAAGCCCTTGCTTAGAGTGTTTTCCTCAGCGCCAATGAGAAGCTGAAAAACGGAAGCGTCACGGTTTTTAAGGTGGACCGGATAGAGTCAATAAGAAGCTGCGAATGAGAATGTTAATTATTGTAATATTGTAACGGTCGCTTAATGTTTGATATGCTTTGTGTATTAAATATATATATATATATATATATATATATATATATATATATATATATATATATATATATATATATATATATATATATATATAATTACTATTATTATTATTATTAAAAATATATATTTCACTCCTCTGTCATCCCAATTAATCTAAACTAACGACTTTACAAATGGAGCTAGCAAACTCACAGAAATGCCAGCTGACCCAGCCGAGGGGTGCGTTTTCATAATGAGCCTGTGTTGCAACTAACAGTAAAACCGTTTTACAAGGACGCTTAAATTCTACCTCACATGTCGATGTTTATAACTTGACATGATATATATTAGGACATTTACTCTTAACATCAGATTACCAAATCTAAACAACCTTACGTTTTTTTTTGTCCCTTGAAAGTGTTTAAGGGTATTTGCATTATTAGTGTTGTAAAATCCGTGGCATAAAATGATCTTAAAATAGCAATAATATCGCTTATCGCAACAATTTCTGTCATAATATATTTCACAACATTTTTTTTTATCATGACAGGCCTAGTTGTTATTATTATTATTATTTTTGGTATTATTACATACATATATTAATATTATTTTTAATCTTTTAAAAATTATATTATTATTTAATAATAATAATCATTATTGTTATTATTGGTGTTATTATGACTAATATATATATATATATATATATATATATATATATATATATATATATATATATATATATATATATATATATAACATTATTTAAATTATTTTTAAATATTATTTTATTAAAATATTATTTATTATTATAAATACACACATACAGTCAAACCTGAAATTGGTCATACACCTGTGGTATGAATAATTTCGGGCTTGACTGTATACATATATTAAATGTAAGAATATAGAAGACATTTTTATCTGATTTTATTTGCTAATGAGTGATATTTATAATATTTAAATCTAACAAAAATGTATATTCTAGTACACTGTACCAAGCTTTATGAATAATCAAAAACAAACAAATAAACAAACACAACAGGTTTACATTAGGCTAGTCGGTCACACTTTAATTTAAGGTACAGTTAACGCTATTAACAAACCACTAAGACTTTTCGCTCAATAAACTATTAATTTGCTGTTTATTAATAGTTAGTAAGGTAGTGGGTTTATTTATTGCATTTAAATAGCAAATATCGTAAAATAATGAAGTAATAAGCCACTAGTTAAAAGTGGGAATTGGTCCCTATACTAAAGTGTTACTGACTAGTCTGTTGAGAGAGTATTGTTACCCAGCATTTCAGATTGGTTTGGGCTAAGCTGAACTCTCAAGAATCAGCCCACTGTGTAAATACCATTTGTCTGTTCAGCAGTGATTTTCTCTCACCGTTGTGCAGCCAGGAGAGCTCAGGCTGTGGTTTGCCCTCCACTGAACACTGCAGGGTAAATTCCTGTCCTTCACACACCGAACAATCCTTCAGAGCAGAGCTGAACACTGGGGGCTTCGCATCCACTCGCACACCTACAACACACACACAAATACACTGAAACCATGCAGCATCTGCAGCGATTTCACCAACAGGTGGCGCTGTCAGACTACTCATTCTACTACCAAAAACCAAACACAATATTATTGACAAATAAAGTATCATGAACTTTTTTTTTTCCTCATCAGGATGCTGCATATACTGTACAGTGTTCAGCATTAACGAGTACACCATCTCTTGATTTTTTTATAGAATTTTTTTCAGTGAATATAGACAATTTTTGGAGAGTAAACGCTTAGTATGTTTTACTAAGCGGTTATTTTAGTGTATTTCAAGTTATCGCAAAAAAATTAAAAAAAATTACAAACTACAACATGTTCAACTAAATTTGATATTTTTTATGTTTTTCTTGATTTTTCCTGTTTATTAAAGTTTAGTTTCATATTTTCCCCCAACTTATTGATTTAGGTGTTCTATCTAGTTTTGTCTTTGATTAGATTAGATTCAACTTTATTGTCATTACAATGCAACGGAATGCAGTTTAGGTCTAACCAGCAGTGCAATAGCAGCAAGTGCAGGATACAGGTATAAGTTATAAAGTGCAGTTATAGAAAAACTATAGTGATATTTACAGATGGATGTACTATCAACATTATATTAAGGTTGGATTAGCTATTAACAGATTTAAAATATATGAATATATGTGCAGGGTGCTATTAATAATCAGTAGTGTGCAGATGCATAAGCATGATTACAAGTGTATATGTCACAATATATGAATATATGTGCAGGTTGCTATTAATAATCAGTGGTGTGCAGATACTTAAGCATGATTACAAGTGTATATGTCACAATATATGAATATATGTGCAGGTTGCTATTAATAATCAGTAGTGTGCAGATGCATAAGCATGATTACAAGTGTACATGTCACAATATATGAATATATGTGCAGGTTGCTATTAATAATCAGTGGTGTGCAGATGCATAAGCATGATTACAAGTGTATATGTCACAATATATGAATATATGTGCAGGTTGCTATTAATAATCAGTAGTGTGCAGATAAGCATGATTACAAGTGTACATGTCACAATATATGAATATATGTGCAGGTTGCTATTAATAATCAGTACTGTGCAGATAAGCATGATTACAAGTGTATATGTCACAATATATGAATATATGTGCAGGTTGCTATTAATAATCAGTAGTGTGCAGATGCATAAGCATGATTACAAGTGTACATGTCACAATATATGAATATATGTGCAGGTTGCTATTAATAATCAGTAGTGTGCAGATAAGCATGATTGCAAGTGTATATGTCCAGTCGGTGTGTACATAATTACAGATGTCCATATGCAGTGGGTATATACAGTTTAAATAGGTAAATCAGTGCAATGTGGTGCAGTGGATATGTGCAAATTTGTGGAATAATCTGTTGTATAAACACAAATATAAGATTGTAAATCTTACAGAAAATATTGATTTAAAAGAGAGTTATGTGTGGGGTGTACTAATAGATGTACTGGGTATGGGATAGAAAAAATAGCAATAATAATATATTTATACAAAAAAAAAAAACTTATTGGACCAAATGTTGATTTCCTGATTTGAAAGTTAAATTATTGAGTAAAGCCTGTGTAAACATTTCTGAAATATGTTTTTTCTTATTAAACACTGAGTGTATGCAACAAAAAAGCAGTGATGGGGTATAAGAGTGGTCCAGACCCACCTCTTGAAAGTATGACTTAAAGAGGGTAAGCTTGACTGGCTGTAGTTCTGTAGTTCGCTTCATTTGGTTCGGACCAAGGCCAATAAATTATACATTGTTGCACCTTCTGCCGTCTTTGGTTCCTTCTCACACCACACTGCTGGCTTTGGTCCAAACCAGATAAAAAGAACCAAAATGCAGTCATCTGACAAAATCCACATCACTCATTGGCCAGATGTTGTTGAACATATTTCCTATACTGCTTTTCGATTGGTCAGAATTCACGTGAGGGAAAATGCCAGTGAACTCCCGCAAGTAAACAAAACCGGCAGACACAAAATGTCGCTTTTTACTATGGAGGGACGACTGCGCTATCTGATTGAATCCCTGCTTTAGACAAACTATACATTTCAAGATTAAAGCGCCGCCCCAGCTGAAAGACAATATATATTGTAATATGAATATAATTTAAAGGTGGTTTATTCTGTATTTGAAAAGAGTTTATCGTTTTAGCTCTATTGCGATTACTTCCCTGCTGAAAAATCCAGCTTAAACCAGCCTAGGCTGGTTGGCTGGTTTTAGCTGGTCGACCAGGCTGGTTTAAGTGGGGTTTTGGCCACTTCCAGGCTGGTTTCCAGCCATTTCCAGCCTGGTCTTAGCTGGTCAGGCTGGGAGATGATCAGCTAAAACCAGCTTGACCAGCCTAGCCAAGCTGGGAGTCCAGCCAAAACCAGCTATATCCAGCTTAAACCAGGCTGGTCAAGCTGGCTTTAGTTGGATTTGGCTGGTCATTTTCCAGCCTGACCAGCTAAGACCAGGCTGGAAATGGCTGGAAACCAGCTTGGAAATGGCCAAAACCCCTCTAAAACCAGCCTGGTCGACCAGCTAAAACCAGCCAACCAGCCTAGGCTGGTTTAAGCTGGATTTTTCTGCAGGGTTTGCAGGGGAGTACACCTGCATGAAATATAAGAAACATATTTCACGCAAGATGATGTCAACTGAACCAAATACAAATGAAATAAACCATGCTTAATGGTTTATGAGGAATCTAGTAGTACTGAGGTACAGATATTCAAAACTAATAATGTCTAGACTTTGTTGTATAAATAATTAAATGCAATTAATATTTTTTATAGCTTCTAACTTTATACTTTCTTGGTTTAAAATTTACTTGAAGTCTTATACAGTCATGTGTTTCAAAAACACATTGAAAATTTGTCACTCTACTGATAAACCCTGGTATGACTCAAAAAATCACGTTCTGAACTGTTGTGGCTGGTTATTATAGTCCCAACTCCTGCAATGTGACTATCGCAGTTTCACATATTGCGATATTAATGCTGAGACGATATATTGTGCAATCTTATACTATAGAATATTGTAATGATTTGCTAGTTTCATGTGGCAGCTCTGTGAAAATACACAATTGTTTTTTCAATACCTTTAAAAACTCCAACAAATATTTGAATAGTAGAATCCATGCAGTCTCTGAATTAATCGCTCATAAAAATGTGCAATCATAATAGACAGAAAAAAAAAAACGTCAACTTCTCATTATCAGCACAACAATCCAACAAATGTAGATTAAAATGTCACTGCTGGATTCTTACGCTTGACGGTCAGACTCCAGTGGGCCGCGGTGTTTCCTCTTCTGTTGGCAGCAGTGCAGCCATACTGTCCCGTGTCAGTTATGTGAGCATTGTCCAGACACAGAACATGCAGGCCGGCCTCCTGTCGAGTGCTGACATCTGATCTCTGTCTGAGAGGAGCTCCATCTTTCAGCCAGCTCACTGCAGGCACTGGAGACCCGGACACTGAGGGCACACAATCAGAGCACTCATTTAACAACATCTGCACAAGCTGACGCAACCTTTCTGGTGGCCACTTTTATGTTAAGAAATAAATAAAAAATAAGTCTAAAATGCTTATCAATTTAATACTAATTGGCTATCTTGATATCATACTGACATCTAACATTGGTGTCAAAAAAACATCAAAAATGTATTACAGGACAGTCCTGTAGTCATTTTTAAGGACCAAGCTCAGGAACGGCCCTTTTGGAATTGCTCAGTTTATTATTCATTCATTAATTTTCTTTTCAGCTCAGTCCCTTTTTTTAATCTAGGGTTGCCACAGCGGAATGAACCGCTAACTTATCCAGCATATGTTTTACGCAGCGGATGCCCTTCCAGCTGCAACCCATAACTGGGAAACAGTTTATTATTATATTATTATCATATATTACAATGATCAAATCAGCTCTGTGAGCCAACTTCATATCTAAATAATATTTACTTCATACCTATATAATATTTTTCCTCCATATCCCATAACACACAGCGCATTGGCCTACGGCAGCTTGACTGGTCCAAAAGGCGCGGTACTTTTTGCGGTTGGGTCTGTTTTAGTTCGATCATATTCTTACCACAAACGAACCGCACCAAGACGGAAAACGAACTCTAGTGCGATTCAACCGAACTAAATAAGGCAGGTGTGAAAGCACCCTATAGTTTCGGGAAACTAACGCTAAGCTTAACGCTACAACTTAAGAATGATGTAGCCTGAAGAAGGTTTTGAGGAACGAAGCTCTGATTGTTGTATTAACGGTTGATTCATCACATCATCAAATATTACATAGGTGACTATTTTCAAACATTAATATTTTCAGGTGTTAATCTGGCCAATGACTAAAAAAATGAAAAAAAAATCTGTGACTGTTTATAGTTAATTAACTCTGTACAGTAAGGCTATGTTGGCTATCATTAGTTAATTTAACCAAAGTCAATGTAATAACAAGAACAACAAAAATTATTTATTAATCTTAAGTGATGCTTATTGCATAGTTGATAACTCATTCATTCATTCATTTTCTTGTCGGCTTAGTCCCTTTATTAATCCAGGGTCGCCACAGCGGAATGAACCGCCAACTTATCCAGCTAGTTTTTATGCAGCGGATGCTCTTCCAGCCGCAACCCATCTCTGGGAAACATCCACACACACATTCACACACACACACTCATACACTATGGACAATTTAGCCTACCCAATTCACCTGTACCACATGTCTTTGGATTGTGGAGGAGCACCTGGAGGAAACCCACGCGAAGGCAGGGAGAACATGCAAACTCCACACAGAAATGCCAACTGAGCCGAGGTTCGAACCAGCGACCCAGCGACCTTCTTGCTGTGAGGCGACAGCACTACCTACCGCGCAACTGCCTCACTTAGTTGATAACTAATTAAATCAAATGTCATCATCATTTAATTGAACAGAGTTAACTAATAAAATTCAGTTGTGTTTCTCTTAATTTTACTATATGAATACATATAATACGGCTATTTCTTTTTATTTCAAATTCATCACTAACTAATGTTTACTAACAAACCTTTTATGGTACACGGTTTCCGCTACATTCTAAACACTCAACTCACTCTTCAACTCACCTTGGCATTTGAAAGTGACCTTTTCACCCTGCAGGACCTCTTGGCTCTGGGGCTGCGAGTCAAAACTGGGTGGAGTTTCTAGCACATCCATTCTGGTTTCTTTGGTTTGTTGGCGAGTGCTGGATTCTATCTGTGATGATTGTGGCATCTGTCCCGGAGCTCTGAACATACCCAAAACTCTCTTTGTGCCATGCGTCTCATTCTTAACACTGTTTTGACTTCTTAGATTGACTAAGTTTGAAGTATTTTGGCCAGTTGCTGATCTTCCATCTGTGGACCTGCTGATAGGTTGTGAGTGAAGTGATGATGTTACTATTGTTGTTTCTCCTCTGTTCATGGATGGGACAGTGGGAACAGTAGTAGTGGACAGCGGTGTGGGTGTTTCTGTGATTATGGTTTCGATGGATGTGCTGGAAGTTTTCTGTTCGTTGGCAAGAGTGTTGGAAGTGTCTTTGAGCATGAATGACTTGGAGGGATTGTGAGATGGTTTGGCCATGCTATGGAAAGAAAATACTAAATATTAACTTGAAGAGTCATTGAGGAAAATCATAAACCAACTCATCATGGCTAATTTTATAAAGACGCATATTCATATCATTGAGGATCACACAAGAGTATAAGATATTCATAGACTTGTGCTAATTTAGTCAGAGCAGGGGCGGGCAAAGTCCTGGAGGGCCGGTGTCCTACACAGTTTAGCTCCAACGCTAATCAAACACACCTGCTTATAGATTTCTTGTGATCTTGAAGACACTGATTAGCATGTTCAGGTGTGTTTAATTAGTGTTGGAGCTAAACTGTGCAAGACACCGGCCCTCCAGGACCACCCCTGAATTAGAGTATATGACGTTTTATTCATTAAAAGTTTAGCTAGATCTTAATAATAAATATGCTTAGATTTTAAAATAAAAACTTGCATGCTCTGTTTATGAAATATAGTGGGAAATAATCTTTACTTACATGACTGTCTCGGTGTCTCCATCTGCAACAGAGCAGCAGAATTAACCATATTTCAAACTGTGAAATTTTTGCCCAAACATGACAATATTAAGACATTCCTAAAGCCATTGTTGTTATAATTAGTATCCTGACGTTGTGAGACACACACTATTCTTATGTAATTTTTTAACTCCCAAAAAAAATGAATGAATTGTTAAATTTCAAGCTCTTCACAAAAGAGAATAACGGGTTTTTCAGAATTGACCAGTTTGCACATAGTTCATGATTAAACTATGTGCTTTGTAATAATTATTATTTTGTTGAATTGTATCTACTAATTTTGAATATTTAAGACTTTTTAAATTTAATCCAGTTACTTAAATTATACTGGTTTTAACAAACATAAAGATTGATGAATGAGTCGAAAGGCATCATTTTTACCAGCGTTGCCAGTACAGCACAGAAGCACTATTGCGAGTAGCAAAAACGGTTCATGTTTAGTTCATGTTAATTAATGCATTTACTAACATGAACAAACAATAGACAATACATTTACTACTGTATTTGTTCATGTTAGTTAAGGTTAGTTAATGAAAATACAGTAGTTAATTGTTAGTTCATGTTAACTCATGGTGCATTAACTAATGTTGTTGACTTGAATGTTAATAATGCATTAGTAAATGTTCAATTATGATTAATAAATGCTGTACATGTGTTGTTCATGATTAGTTCATGTTAGTAAATGCATTAACTAATGAACCTTATTGTAAAGTGTTACCGCAGAAACAAGTACACCTCATAAACGTTAAATTGACACCTATTGGATGATAAGTCATGTAAGACAATAAATTATATGTAAGTAAAACTAAGACAATACCGGGATGTGTTTTCCCATCTCAAGGTCGCAACTTCCATCATTACAAACATTGTTCAGCGATTCTGTGTTTCCTGACTCAAGGAATATTCGCAAATAGTGCCACAAACTTGTGTGCTTGGGACTAAACCTCTATAGCTGTAGTTAAAGACAGACCACCTGCTTGTGTTCTATTCTTAGTTATCCCCCTAAGCCCTATTTCTTTCATACATTTAAGCAACCCAGGCTCATTCTGAAAACGTAGTCCAGCGGACGTTTCTGGAGACCGCGAAATACATCCCGGGAGGTACGTATTTGTGCAGTTTTTGTTTTCGCGAATCCGCGAGAGGCCGCTGTGTGCGCTTTTTCGTATCTCGAACGTCTCTCGCGAGTGCCGTTCCTGCCCACGCTGTTCTCGCATCAACCCACCAGAGGCCGCTGTCTGACTGACCGAATGATTGACTGCGCGACAGGCCAATCGGCTGACCCACCCCTCCTCCTTCCATGAACCCAACCAGTTTCATCGATTGACCTGCCCGCCCACTCCCTTCCCTAAACCCGAGCAACAATTTAGAAAAGCCGTCTAGAAAAAGAAAAACCCTCATCTGTTTTTTTTTACCACGTTTTCGGATTTGACCACGTTCTCACCCTGTTATGAACTCGTTCGCTTTATTTTTTGGATTCTGTTTTTGTCTTACCTGGTTTCTGGAACCGCTCTTTCCCGTACTCGAACCCGGGTATTCCTCGGTCTCCAGAAACGTCCGCTGGACTACGTTTTCAGAATTAGCCAGGGTTGCATTTAAAAGTCCACTTTGAAAGATTTTGAAATCGTTTTGCCTTGCTCACATTGTATGTAATTTGCTCTCACACTTATTTTTACTACAGTTTAGTTTAACAATCTTTAGAGACAGTTGTGGTCCCTCTTTAGTGCACTCCAAAAACATTTATGCCATTTTGTGCAGTGTAAATAAAGGAGAATTTTATTATTTACATTACAAGTGAAAATCTGTTATTTCCGAAGATTGGAAAAACAAAAAGTATGCTGTGGTACATGCAGACACATGGTTTTAGTTTGAATTAATCAAAGTAGGCCTATATGTACTGTAGCCTATGTATGTAGTATTTCTGCAGTGTTTTGAATATAATGTCAAAAATGTAAGAGGAATTTTAAAAAAAAACTATTAAATTGTGTATAATTTCATTTTTGTACATTTCTTTGTATGGCCATGTGATTGTATATGTAATTAGGCTACTTGTTAAAGTGTGTGTGTTTTTTAACAATAGTATAAAAATATGTAATTTTCAGAATAAAATATATAAAAGAAAGAAAAAGTCTGGTTTCAACTAAGCATGAAGGAAAAAATAGACATTAAAATATGTTTATTGCTTAATACTTGCATAACTCATATTGGAAAAATGAATACATTTATAAATAAATAAATGAATTAAAAAGAAAAAAGTTTGGGTTAAGTATGGAGGAAGGGAAACCAACATGCTAAATATGCTAAATTATTACTCACAACTCATACAGGATATTAAAAAAAAATCTAGTTTTATTATTAACAAAATATAAATACAAAAACAACTGTTGCGGATTTTATCTAAAGAAGTTGTTACTCAACTCCTTAGAGGAGTCTCATTATTCAAGATTTGCATTTTAACTAAAGTGGTTGCAAATATGGATTTCAATGCTATCTCGCGCCAATGTCTAACTTTTTAATTTAGTGGCTAATTCACTAAACTGACAAAACCTAAAATAGTTATGTTACATGTCAGGTCAGGCAGGGATATCAGAGAGAGTTTGGGAAACACTTGTCATTGTATTGCAAATTTCATAAACTATAGACCTTTTTCATGGCTGCTGCATGGTGGGCGCCATAGCGATCAGCATCTTCCGGTAGAATGCTAAAAACTTCCGTTTACAGCGTGTACAATTGGTAATTTGCGCTCCGAAAATGCGTTTCAATGACGTTTTTATTAGATAACAGAGTGCTTTTGTGACACACAACTTAGAAATATGTCTGTTAAAACCGTTATAATCTGTCACATGTGGGTCAAGCGCGTCAGAAATACGAGAAAAACGTTCTCCTAGTTCACGTGTCTGCCGTCAGAAATACAGTTAGCTCAGCGGCTCTTTAACACACACAAGCACACACAGAGAGAAAGAGAGAGAGAGAGAGAGAGAGAGAGCAAACCAGAGTACTGGCATGAAACTTAACTGGTATGAAAGTCGTGCAATTTACAAAAATGACCAATAAAAGTCTGTTATTGATCCTCTGCTGGCTGATTTGCTGTTCATTCTAATAGCGAGCCGTTTGTGTTTTATTTCGTGTGTTGTTTTTACAACGGTTTGTGTTTTTCTGTCATTTCGAAATGACACTCGCCTATATTTTCACTTTGTCACAGTTATTAAATCAGTGTGTCAGTGGCACAGTACAGGCTACGTGTGTGTGTCAAACATTTTGGTGAACTACATTAGTTTGGGCTGGTTATATATTTGAAATAAAGAGAAACTGTTGACTTTAGCGATGACGAGGCTTCATTTAAACTGCAGAAGATGCCGTCTGACAACGAGGGGAAAACGCCTCACAGCAGCTGTTTTCCATCCTATTAGATCGCATTTCTTTAAATGATCAGTCCAGGAGATGGCGCTGATGGACAACAGTATTAGTTCAAAGAGGATAAAAGCAGGTAAAATAGATTAAAACTAGCGTTTCAAAGCTGTCCAAATGTGACTGTTTACATGCATCAGCTGCCGACCGGAAGTTCTTCGCATTCTCCTTGCGCATACACGCAAAGCATCATGGGTCATTTTGCGTTCCAAGAAAAAGGTCTATACATTGTACTGTGGCAGTTCAACTTTGAGTTATGTTGTTGTGTGGGAAACGCATCCCTGGTCTATAGTCCATAAGTTCATCTTTCTCTGTTACCTTGCATAATGAGTTCAGCGGCTGCAGAGGCTTTTCCAGCACTGTTGGCCACCAGACAGGTGTACATGCCAGCATCCTCAGAGAACACATTGCGGATCTCCAGGAAATGCATTCCTGACCTCTCAAACATGTTATAGTGATCTGATTGCTGGATCATCTCTTCTCCCTGAAAGATTAAAAAAATAAATAAATATGGATATGCTTACTAGATCTGACTCAAATAGCTAATAACATCTTACCTTGTACCACTGCACCAGTGGCTGGGGTCGTCCTGTGATCTTGGCCGAAAATTTGCCAGTTTGTCCCACTTTGAGATACAGGCGAGAAGGTTTAGCCACAAACTTTGGGGGGCTTTCACCCCAGATACTGGCTCTGTTTTCTACTGCGGGAGCTCCCATAGATCTGCTGATGACAAAAGAGGACGACGTAACACCACTGAATCCTACAGCACTCTATATATTAATAACAGCAGCACTTGCAAAGAAAAATAATTAATAGCAAGTCAAAGAGTTAGTTCACCCAAAAATGGAAATGAGCTAATTAAATAAATAACTTGCTCTCATATCGTTCCAAACACATAACATTTACATTTACATTTAGTCATTTAGCAGACGCTTTTATCCAAAGCGACTTACAAATGAGGACAAGGAAGCAATTTACACAACGGTCCCACTTTATATTAAGTGTCCCTAACTACTATGTACTTACATCAAAAAATAAATACAATGTACTAACTGAGTTTATAATGTATTTGAGAACACTTGTGGTGCTTTTGAGTTGGGATAGAGGTTGGGTTATGGATAGGTTTGGTGGCATGGGTAGGTTTAAGGGTAGGTTAAGGTGTAAGGGATGGTCAACAGTGTATTTACAAATGTAATTACAAAAGTTAATTACTGATGTAATTACATACATGTATTTAATCAAGCATAAGTACATGGTAAATACATTTATTTACACAATGAGTACATTGTAACAAACTATTAATTACTATGTAAGTACATATTAGTTAAGGCCACTTAATATAAAGTGGGACCTACACAACTATAAGAGCAACAATGAATAAGTGCTGTAGGCAAGTTTCAGGTCTGTAAAGTCTAAGAAGACTTTTTGAGTACAGTTATTGGTATATCCAGAGAGGTAATTGCAGATTAGGAAGGGAAGTGGAGACTAAATAGTTGAGTTTTTAGTCGTTTCTTGAAAACAGCGAGTGACTCTGCCGTTCTGATGCAGTTAGGGAGTTCATTCCACCAACTGGGCAGATTGAGCGTGAGCGTTCGGGACAGTGATTTCTTCCCTCTTTGGGATGGAACCACGAGGCGACGTTCATTCACAGAACGCAAGTTTCTGGAGGGCACATACATCTGCAGAAGTGAGAGCAGATACGAAGGAGACAATTGTAGGCAAACATCAGAGCTTTGAATTTGATGCGAGCAGCAACTGGCAGCCAGTGCAAACGGATGAGCAGCGGAGTGACATGTGCTCTTTTAGGTTCATTAAAGACCACTCGTGCTGCTGCGTTCTGGAGCAGCTGAAGAGGCTTGACAGAGTTAGCTGGAAGCCCGGCTAGTAGAGAGTTGCAGTAATCATAAGACATTTGTTTATCTTCAGAACCCTTCAGCTTAGTCGGATTAGTGCCGGATGTATCGCGTCACTACAGCAGGATCAACCCAAATTGATATATTTTTATGGATGCACCCAAATTTTCAGCCTCTGAAAATTATCAGCCAAAGTTGGCATTTTCAATTCTCAGCCAAAATATCAGCTGAAAATAACTCTAAAAGAGTTGATTCCTCAACTCTCAATGGATCTAGAACAGACTCCAAGAGAGGAATCATCTTTTTTCAAGCCTCCTGAATGAAGCAGTTGGATGCTACAGATATACTGCTCATTCTCGAGCATGATGAACACAGAAGGTATCCGATTTAAAATATGCGTTCTCAATTTTGTGACCACTAGAGCTCTGTAAGCTATTATAAATGGTGCAGCAGGATGTAGTTTGCTTTCACTTTCAAACTGCTATGAAGCACACCATTTTGCATTTTGGTTTTAAAGATGATCTGCCAACAGACCAGATGCAAAAAGTGCTGCATGACACTATGAAATCTGTTTATTTTAAAGGCTTGAGCCATGCAATGACCAGTAATGTGCGTTTATATAACACATTTATCATGCATGGACATACACTTAAAGCACTTCTTAATCATGAGGGTGATCTCTCTACATCACCCCCAGTGTGCAGCATCCACATGCATGATGCGATGCCATATGACAAAGGCGCCAGTGCACTAACCACACACCAGATATTGGTGGAGAAGAGAGACAGTCATAGAGCCAATTCAGTGGAAGGGGATGATTGGAAAGCCATGATTGGTAAGGGCCAATCGAGGTATTTTGAAGTGTACTTTTTTTTGCCACTCGCAATAGTGCGACTGTGCTGTTGTGGCAACGCTGGTAAAAATGATGCCTTTCGACTCGTTCACCAATCTTTGTGTTTAATAAAACCAGTATAATTCAAGTAACTGGATTAAATTTTAAAAGTCTTATATATTCAAAATTACTAGATATAATTCAACAAAATAATAATTATTACAAAGCACTTTATGTTTTGGTTCACAACTTTCCTTTTGGCACATCCCTATATAGTTTAGATTAAATCAGAGAGCTCTCTGATCCTCCAAAGACTTAAGACAAGTTGTGCTTATGACAATAAATCATATTATCCATTGTCCATAGTAAATGTGCACCTTGACAACCTGACAAGGAAGAGAAAATATTGGCAAAGTCATATTGACAGTTTAGACTGTTTTTTATTTGGTACGCGAAAGCATATTGGGAGCTTCGCATGATTGTTTTTGCACCACTGAAGTGACATGGAGAGTTTTGCCAAAATGTTTGGCTTGTTTTCTAAACTTTGAACTTGTCTAGACAATGGAGGATAAGGGAGCTCTCAGATGCCATCTAAAATAAGTCAAGGAATCAGGGTATTTGGAACAACATTAGGGTTAGAGTAACTTATAATATAATTTCAGTTTTTAGGTGAACTAACCTTAAAAAATAACCTACTATAAGCTTAAAAATAGTATCACATTGTGTACTTCATATTTACGTGATGTTTTGCACGTTATGCATCTTACCCTGTTCTGTTTGTGGAAGGAAGACTGTATTTCTTTCCTGTGTTTCCTGTAGAAATGGACAAGGGTTATTAATGAAGCACCAAACAGAAAGTATACTCTCATCTACATCCCCTCCTTCACAGACCTGACTTGAGCTGCAATTATCTGCCGCTAGTTGTAAAAGTCTTAAATAGTTCCACATGCTTGTGTTTTGTAAAGTATGTTGGAGGAAGTTTATTAAGCATTTATTAGTCTATAAATCAGCGCAGATGTTGTGCCGCATCTCTGTCTCTAAATATATTTACTGCAGGTAAAAAAAATATATATATAAACTAAGAAAATACACAATAATGTAAATGTTTGAATATAGGCACTATAGAGTACACTTCAAAGTAAACGGTGAGGTTTTAGAATGCAGTATAAACAAGTGTTTATTCTATGTTGTAATGTTTGGGCTATTAAATGAATTTTCTGTATTTATGCATGGCATAAAATTTCGGAACATACTGTGAGAATGTAAAATACTGATTTGATATTTATGGAGGATGAATTATAAAACAAAGAGATCTAGAAATAACTATAATTTATTAAAGGAACAGTATGTAATTTTTACCACTACAAGAGCATATTCACAACGACAAGAGTTACATGCTACAGGACCAGCCTGATCTCACGAGAAAAGATAAGTATTTTACGTTTTGCCAGCTTAGTGACTAATTCTTACGAATTCGTACGAGTTCAGTTGTTCGAAATTGTACGATTTTAAAAAGGAGGCGTGGCACCTAACCCCACCCCTAAACCCAACCGTTAATGGGGGATGAGCAAATCGTACTAAAATGTACGAATTAGATTGTATGAATTCGTACGAATTAGCCACTAAACGAAAAAGTTACGAATTGCTGTGAGATTGTGTTGACAGGACTCCTACTACAGGAATCATGTTGATAAATGAGCTGATGTATTCAATACTTCTGATGGTAGTAGAGTATATATGCCATAAATATAGTTTAAGCTTTAGGGTTACGTTTACATCCTCATTATTATAATTTCCCTCTGATATAGGAATAATTTGTGGTTAGGGTTAGGTTTAGGAGCAGGAGTTTGGTTTGGACTGAATTTTTCAATAGGTTCTGGATGCAGCCTTTATGGTGCAAGCTGAGATTGCATCTCTCAGCGATGCAATGTCAGACACAATTCACTAAATGGAGCTATCCACTGTGAGGGGTGGGGTTAGGTTAGCCCATTATAAGCATTTGATGAGGCTCAGATTGCATCTGCACCAGGCCAACAAATATATTTTGACCCAAGATCATCCCTGCTCACACGATGCAAATTCAAATGATTTTGTTGTCAAAGACAAATTGAAAATCCTAAAAGATTAAAAAAATCCTAGGCTAATGTCTGTCATCTTTGGTCTTTGGTTTGACATATTCACAGACAATGCTTAATGGCCGTTGCGATCAGATTTTTCCTGATGAAGTTCTGACAGTGTCAGAAGATTTCAGACACTTTCATGTAGTGTGACTTCAGCTATGACAAACTACATCAAACCAAACAACAAAGCATAAAATCTTAGGATTCAATGAGCACAGCAAAATTCAGTCAGCACAATCAACTTTAAATGTTTATGTTTAAATGTTTATCTTTGTTTACAATGAGGAACAGCTATCACTCTACCGCCAGTCCTTACTTCATACTCGCATCCAATACCTCAGTTTGTCAGAGGAGCATGAATGAAATGTTCCTGAATGAAGTGAAACTGCTGCAGTGCAGTTAAAGTCAACAAATTAAAACTGAAACATCCGAAATGACATGAAACTGTAGGCCATGTAAGAAATGTGGATAGCATGGTGAGCCCGCTGGAAAAAAAACCCAGCTTGGTTTTAGCTGGTTTACCAGCCTTGTTTTCGAGGGGTTTTGGCCGTTTGGTCTTAGCTGGTCAGGCTGGAAAATGACCAGCTAAATCCAGCTAAAGCCAGCTTAACCAGCCTGGTTATAGCTGGACATAGCTGGTTTTGGCTGGGCTCCCAGCCTGGCTAGGCTGGTCAAGCTGGTTTTAGCTGGATTTAGCTGGTCATTTTCCAGCCTGACCAGCTAAGACCAGGCTGGAAATGGCTGGAAACCAGCCTGAAAATGGCCAAAACCCCTCTAAAACCAGGCTGGTTGACCAGCTAAAACCAGCCAACCAGTCTAGGCTGGTTTAAGCTTTTTTTTTCAGTATGGGATGCACTTGATGACGTTATTCAAATTATTTGCTATAACATATAAAACAAAATCATGAAAGAAACATTCAAAAGCAAATCATATTATTGTTTTTTTCAGATTAAGTCAAATAATTTGATTACTGATGTCCATGTAAACATTGTGACTGTCTATCAGTCTGACGTTATTACAACAGACATGGGGATTGCATTCATGCAGTCTGACATGCTACAATCATCCAGACTATTCCACAGTATGAGCCAGCCTTAAATCTGTAAAATCATTATTTTACTGTGATCTGTGTAGATTAATAATATTAAACTTAAGCCAATCAAGGTGTGCTTTACCTTCCACAATGATCTCCACAGTAACCTGGCAGCTCCCAGCATCGTTAACAGCTTCACAGGTGTAACGTCCTCCATCGGCATCCTCTACCTCCTGGACCACCAGACTAAATGTTCCACGGACACTCTGTTCCATAGAATAATGATCTCCTGCTATCAGTAGCTTGCCATTCCTAAACCAGCATACCTGAGGCTCTGGGAAACCACGTACCTGACAGAGATCACATATAAACAGTAGGTGTTAAAAGTCTTGTACATAAAACAGACGGTCAATCACATAAACACAGCAACTCAGCAGTAATCAGTAAACAAGATAGTCCAAGTGAACAAGTGTGGGACAGATGTATCGCAAGAATTCTGCCATTGACCAGCATTCTTGTGTGAGCCAAAAGGAAGCTGTTTGTTGTGTGAAACAAGCCAAGAGTGTGCTCCATAATTAAAAGGTTCAGTGAGACAAATATGAACAGCGTTCTGGAAATGCTTAAAACCCAGTGAACAGAATCTGTATCAGCTTTCATTATTGGTTACTCAGTAACTGCTTATACACCAAGAAGAGAGCTGTGAGCTATTATCTGTGTGTGTGCAGTAATGCATTTTCTTTCCTAGTAACCTAGCATATTACTAATACAATTTCAGTAATAATATTACTGTTATGCCATTGTTCTAACATTTAATATTCTAAAACTCAAATGGAGTGAATACTTTGGATGAAAACATGGCTATTGGGTAGATTTATTCAATCCAAATTGTACATTTTCAGGGTTATGCTGAATAAACTCCCTAGTGGCAAAGTGGTGTAAGTGGTATACAGTTTATAATCATTCATTGATTCATTTTCTTTTCAGCTTAATCCCTTTATTAATCTGGGGTCACCACAGCGGAATGAACCGCCAACTTATCCAGCATGTTTTGACACAGCTCTGGGAAACATCCACACACACACTCATACACTACAGACAATTTAGCCTACCCAATTCACCTGTACCGCATGTCTTTGGACTGTGGGGGAAACTAGAGCACGAACGCAGGGAGAACATGCAAACTCCACACCGAAACGCCAACTGACCCAGCTGAGGCTCAAACCAGCGACGTTCTTATAATAATCCATATTGTTAGCAAATAATTGAGAAATGTGAACTTACAGCCGCTTTGTTTGTGTTCCGTCTTGACACAAATTGCTTACTTGGATATGTCACTTCAGTTTTTGTTCTCGCACTCTGATCAGTTGCTGAATATCCAATCAGAGTGCTCTCTTCAGCCTATGGTTGACGCCGATTCTACATGCTGAATCAGGTCAGCTAGATCTAACGTGAACCCATTGAAAGGCAAAGTGTGGAACACACCAAACCAACTAGCTGGACCCAATAGCCAACCGTCACCTTGGTGGTTCCCGGTCTTTACAGCTAACCTCTGCAGAGAAGTGTCCCTCAGGATTTGCCATGCTATTCAACTTGCTCAGCACAATAAAGGCACAACTTGCCTTAGCAAGCAAAACTATGCAGCCTTTTTTATCCATCCTGAGAAGTAACTATTAAAATCTTCTATCTAGTCTGAAAATGTCTATTAAGGACAGCGTATGGATAACCTTCCCAAATGAAGCCTCTCTTATACCAGTAGGCATGTTTCATTTCCGCAGATTTAAAAAAGATGGTCTAACGTTGTACACTGGAGGCAAACCAGAGTAAAACCATGAAACACAATCTTTCTCTTGTTGCCTGCAAACCCGCGGAGCCATACATTGACTTCAAATGAAACAAAAATCAGAGGAAACTGCTAACTACTGCCAGCTGCAATGGATTTCAGATCGAATATACAAATTTATACGGCTCGATGGCTAGTAGACAACAGAGTGATTCCAGATGCCCTTCCAAAACTCCAAGGCTAAAATGAGAGCAAGACTTTACCGTACAGCAACGATCTTTAGGAGCGTGTCAACATTGGCCTCTCTTCTTTTCCATAAAATGTTGCCTCGCGGTGACAGGTCCACTTCAATGCAGATTTGCCCAAAAATAGCAATATTAGGTCTGAATTTTCTATTAAATCAGAGCAGTGCTGGTATTTCCTCTGTGTCTGCTGCTGTTTTTTCTCTTGTGCACGCTCTCAGTTTGAAGTCTGTACTCTGAGACTTGTGGTCAAGGCTCTACCTCAAAAATCCAGCAGCACTCACATCCGATGCTGAGGGAAAGAAAAACACAGGGTTGTTTGCACAAAACCTCTGCTGTTTTCTTGTTTTCTCTCATACAACAGCACTAGAAGGGAATAGAGAAGACAATAGTGTTTTCACCAATGGAGGGAATCAGCCACATAAGGACAGGCAAAACCAGAACATACAAACAGAGGTTTACAACGGTTTGAAGTGTCAAGCCTGTGTCTGGATTGATAGTACTAGGTTGATTGAGTACAGTGTACAGTTGGGGTGCAGCTCTAACAAAACTTTCTGGACTGCATGATGAACAGCACTCCTTAAAATAAAGCACTTTTCGACAATAAATAAATATAAATAAAAATAGATATCTAGAGCTTGCATTTCACGGTTTTGCTTCAAAGTATCATGTTTACTCCTTACTTTTCTCCACATGGAGACAAGAGAGCTGTCATTCAATATAGGACAAAACAAAGCAACTGGCATGAGTAAAAATAAGACTTAAAACATTGTTATGAGCTGTAATAGTTTATTCATTCTTTATTTAAACACAAAGCTGTCAGAAACGAAAAACTGCTGGATGGAGCATACACTAACCTAAGTATTATTCAGTCACATAAGGTGCCAACATGGCTTGAAAGACAAGCATTAAAATGGATGTGATCGTATTCACTAAAGGTCAACATGATTCCTGGATAAGTCTGTGTTATTTAGCGGTTGTTATCTGGTAATTATATACCTCAGAATGTCGCAACTGACCAGTCAGAATCAAGTATTCTAGACACCGGTGTAATAAACAGAAATAAAGCCAAACTCTGTATAAAGTAAACATGCTGATGCTGTGGTTGAAGTTGTTTAATCATCAAATGCTGTGATCCCAAGAGATTTAACCTGTTCTTTAAGTTGCTACAGTATGAGCACAGTAATTTATAACATGTAATTGATGATTGGAGTTGTATTACTAGAAAATATTCCACACCTGAGGTCAACATAGGCTCATTCTGAAAACATAGCCCCATATACATTTCTGGAGATCGTAAATTATGTAGCCAGTAGTATGTATGGCTGCATTTAAAAAATGAATGATATAGGGTGGTATGACACTGTTCCTTTTACCAGCTGACCACTTATAACCGTATGAATGGCTTTTCCCACCCAGACAGTTTGTCCAGTAGCTCGCCATGTACCTTGGCAGACACCACCTGTCATGACTGTCAGTAACCACCTGAGGGCGCTGTAGTTCACGGACTCTGAGAATTAACTACAGCGCCCAAAAGACTACAAGTCCATACATACCACGCGCATACCACCCGGTCCACGTACCTGTTTCCTGTTAATTTCCTGGACTATTTATACAACGATTCCACCCCTGTTTTTCACTGCGTCGTTTATCTTTCTTGTCTCCGTATTCCAGTAAGTCTAATATTTCGAGTTTTGATTCCTGAGCCATGTCTCTGTTTTGTGTTTCTTGTTTTGTTGTTTATTTGTACTTTGCACTTTGGACACCTTGTTTTTCTGTTTGATGCACATTGTAAATAAACTGCACTTGGATCCGCACCTTTTTGTTCCCGTTTGATCTTGCTAACGTGACACCACCGAGCTCCGATGACCACAACAACGGGGTTTGACTTCAGTAAAGAACGGTTACAGACGACAAAAACAAAAGGCAAAAAATAAAACAAGTAAATAACAAGGTGAGAATGTGGTAAAATCTGAAAGCGTGGTAAAATCAGGCTGCGGCAAGGGCTTTTCTTTTTCTAGATTGCATTTTTAAAACTGACAGTTGGATGTTAGAAAGTGGGTGGGTGGGTCAATTGGTGCTTTGAAAATACTATTGGTTGGATTTAGGAAAGGAGGAGCATGGGTCAGTAGATCAGTCAGTCAGTTAGTCAGTCATTCGACAGCAGTCTCTGATGGACCTACAGAAGAACATCAGGCGTGAACAGCACTCGTGAGAGAAATTTGAGATCTCAAAAAGCGAAACACAGCGACCTCTGACACATTTGGAAAAATTAGCAAAAAAACAAACCCCCTGGGACGTATTTGGCACTCTCCAGAAATGTATATAGTGGTACGTTTTTAGAATGCGCCTGGGTTGCCTGAGGTGTAACGGCCACTTTGCTTTATTTTTTAAATATGACTGGTTGTCATTGTGAAGTTTCACAAACTAATTTCAAGAGGAGCATGTGATATGATTGACTGCAGCTGGTCACCCATCTACAATCATTAGTTAGCCAATCAGATAAATCCAAACTCACTATAAGAAGCCTAGCAAAACTACTCCCTTACCTTCATTTTCCGAAGAAACCCCCCATCCACCCCTTTCCTCCACCACAGGGAGCTCCCGAGAACCACCTGATCTCGTACTCCCCGTACATGTTCTATTGACCAGGCGGGAGCCCTGGGCTCAACTATCTCCGAGCTCAGTGTTCTCTCCCAGGACAGCATGCCAAACCTGCTAACATTTGTCAAACAATATCTAAGTGTGAACTCTTGAAATTCTTTATGTACACTACTAGTGTCAAGCAAGAGAGACACTAAATACACTCTCATGCCCTGTTTACACTAGTGCGTTTTAGTTTTAAAACGGTGTTTCAGATCAAAAATGATCCGCGTCCACACTAGCGCTTCACCTATCGTTTCTGAACATATCTCCGTCCACACCACGCCACCAAAAAATATATCACGTGACCATTCGCGCACTCTGGGCATGCGCGTTCTAGTATTAACAGAAAGCATGCGTCCCGCTCGTCATTTGGTCATTGTTAGTCAACAAACGCCGGTTGAACAATGAATGCGATGGCTAAGAAAGCAAGAGAGGTATTTTTGTGGACAGACGACGAGGTCGAGTTGTTACTAAACGTAACCAATGAATAACTGCACAATGGAGCCTAAAACAGACAATAGTGCAAACAACGCTCCCATTTCTGTGTCCATGTTGTTGTTTACAGTGAAGGCTGGTCTGCTGTCTTCCGGGAGCGTTATAGTCATGTGATAGAGGCTTGACGAATAAGGGAAGGATACGCAATGGCACGAAAGCCCCAATCAGTTAGCGAATCTCAGCACCC